AACGAATATATGCTTTTCAAACAGAAGTTTATACATCAACACTCCAAAAGAAACGAACAAAACATGATAAAGAAACATATTTATTCGTGGTTATCGATACTTATAATGTATTTTATAAAATATAAATGTACTTTAGTATGTAGAGGTTTACAGTATACACCTCGTATTGAGAGATATTATCTCTGACATGTTGCGTACATTTGAAAAATATGAAGCGAAGAAAAAATAAAAACTACGTCAACGACACGCTGTTGAGGTAAGGCAACTATACAATAATCGCTATAATATAGTTGTACATATAACAATGCAACTACCAATGCAAGGGACACGACTGCGCGCAATGAATGTTGGTTTTTATGTCATGGATGGTCATCTTTGGCTATGCAATTAACTAGTATGATATCAAGACCAGTTGCGAGGGTCAAGAAATCATCTCGATTTCGTACCCTCACTTCTATAACTATGAATCCCATCGATGCCGCTTTTAATCATCGCTATCCACATCTTCTTTCTTTATTCCTCTTTTCATCGTCAGTTCATAGCTGTTAATTACTTTATACAGCGTATGCTTATAAAAATATTCTTATAAAGGGTTCATAACGTGAAATATGTTAATGATATACATTTATATATATATATATATATATATATATATATATATATATAATAACTTAATTATTTTTAGTTGGAAATTGATGATGAACAAAATCATTTTTCATATCCTTTTCATTAGTAAAATAACAAACAGTTTATTATTGTTTTAGTATGAGTTTTGCTATATATACCTTGCTTATAGATATGTATATATATAATTCTTATGTAGCCAATCAAATTTTTCGATTACTGAGACTCAAGACTATTTATATTATTGGCTAAATGATTTATCTTTTCTTATAATGGTAATAAAGTATGACATTTTTAAATAATACCAACACTTCTAATACAAGTGATATAAAGAATTAATTGATACGTATGTTCGCGAGTGTGATCAAATCTTTCTTTTTTCTATTTATTAAAGATGCTTGCTAGGAATTTTAGAAACTACAAACGATGTGAATACGAGTAATTATAACTTATATGATAACAATAATGGAAAGAAATCAATTTCTAAGACCTAAAACGAGATAGTAAACAACCGATTTAAAAATTTATTATAATATACCAGAGATATAACTTAAAAAATGAGAAAACATTCAAATAATTGAGTACAAAAATTTATTAATACATACTTTGGTAGCAGATTGAAATATAACTATTCATTGAAAGAATAATTATTAAAAGTAATATTGTTCACAGCCTCATATAAATCCGAAAAAGAAATTTTAATAAAATGGACATATCGAATATAAAATAATATTGATTAAAATTTAATATCAATGTGATTATAAATGTTGAATAAATTATTTTCCATAATTTAAATTTTAAACCCCTGCAATAGTTTTAATTACATAAAAGCACACAAAACTATCAAGAAGTCTTAAATATAAAGATTATAAAAATAACCGAAGTATTATTTTGAAATACATAATTATAAAAAATTTACTCTGATATTATCTATTTATTTTTATCTACGATTATTAATAATAGTTCAATAATTATTTATTGATAGTTGAATAACTTATTCTTTTAACGAACATAATAAAAATAAAATCACTTTATTTATCAGTGTCGATAATTTTAATCATGACAAGCTGTATCATACTATTATGGAACTTAAAATTTGTTTGAAATATTAAACTGTAGAATTCTAAATAAATAAATTTATTTAATATTATTATTTATAGACATTTATACTTTATTATAGTAAACGAAAGATATACTTATTATCTAGATTACAAAAAAAGTATTTATATAAACATACATGTTGCTATATAAAATATAAATATTAAATATATAAATAAATTCTTTGATTTAAGCATTGTTTATGAGAATCGAAAATTAGAGTGTCGTATTTCGATAAATATTTTAGTTTATGTTCAATTTTATATAATATAATTTCCTTTATAAAAGGTATCAGTTTACAACTATTTTTGAAAAGCCATTCGAAGCTATACATATTTTGTATAAAATTTTAAGGTAAATTTTAAAAATAAGTTGCATTATTAGCATAAAAAATTGGGATACATTTATACATATCTAGTAGTAATATGAAATATTAAAAATTTTTTTTTTCATATTTCATTAGAATTTTTCACGGAATTTTCACGGAAACATAATTTATTACGTTATCTTAAATCAGTCACAATACAATATCTTGTAGTTATAAATAATATATTTTAAGAAAGTATTTCAGTTGAACTTAAAAATTGTATACATTTAAGAATTTCTTGATAACAAAAATTAACAAAATAGAAAAAATAGCAAATTAATAAAGTCTTTTCTCTTCGTCCTAATAACAGTTATAGATCTAAATATATAATATTATATATTAATTATATTCTAATTCAATTATAGTATAACACAATGTAATATAATATAACATAATATTATAATTATATATATATATATATATATATATATATATACAGCTATAAACGATATGTGAACAAATTTTTAACATCTCACAAAAATATATTTATAATTGATGTATACAAGATCATTTAAAATTTAATAACTTTATTATTCATAATAATACGTTATTTTCAAATAACATAAATTTACTTAAATTGAAAAATTTGAAAAAATCCTAAAAATTCGAACAAAATTTGATGAATATTTCATGTGTAAATTGAAAAATTATATTACAATTATCTTTTATTATGAGATAATATTAAAATAATAGTGACTACTAAAATAGAAATGAGCAACCAATCAAATTCTGTCTTAATCAGTGATTGATTGTGTATGAAAATCATATCCAATAAGGCAAGTTGCCTAACACATTACAAAATGCAACTATATATATTATTTAAAATTATTAATGCCAATATTATTAATTAACTTTACCTTATCCCCATGTATAATATGTATAATAGTATAAGAAAGGCAGTTTTTGAATTCTTGAAAAATACAATATGTGATTATAAAATAACTACAATTATAAAATTATTAATTATATACTAATAAATAAAATAATAATAATAATAAAAATAATAATGGAAAAATCTATAACAATTATTCAACTGTAATCTATTACTTTGTTTCAATGTAATTTCACAATGTAAATATTAAATTATTAATATAATGTATTAAATAATTCAAAATATGAATATATAAAGTCTTAGATCATACGAAGATCCGCATTATATTTATTATGACAAAATTAATTATATCTATAAATAGAATTATATATAAACATTAATAGAAAGTTAAGTTATCTATAAATTATGATACAGTGAGTAATACCAAATATATTCAAGCTGACTGGAAATATTAGTAACTAGTAATGAAGGCCGATAAACGTCTGTTCAAAAAAATCAAACAGATATTTCTATATTTGGTGACATCTTTTGAAATGTAAAAGTCTAAAATTCATCTACTCCAATTATATCACATAAGAATTTATCTGATTTATTTCATCCTTATAATTAATTAAAAAATTACTCGTACAATGGTACGCGTCAAATTTTTATATTAATTATGCAAACGTTAATAAAATCTGAATGCTATTAACAGCGGATTTCTCGGTAGTTTTTAACCTGTAATTTTCAAATCATTTTATAATCGGTTGGTCTATATTGGAAGACAAAAATGAATTAAGAAACTTTAAAACCGAATATAAATCTTAAGCTTGTTAAAAATGCAAAAATAAAATTAAAAATAGTCGTATTAATATAATGAATTCGGATATTTTATTTTATTTGATGAAAATTAAGTGAAATTTAATTAACAATTTAAACGTTGAATTAACATAGACGGATACAATATATAGTAGTGTATTATTAATTTTGATAATGATTTGTGTTTATTAGACAAACGATAGAAAACTGAATAAACGAATAAATATATTTATTATTATAAATTTAATTATATTAGTTTGACTTTTTTTTTCATATACATTTAATATAGAATTATTCACATTTCATTTACAAAATATTGGTCTAATAAATAAAAACCATATTTGTAAGAATTAGGTATCAAAAAGTTAATTCAAATATAACAATATTTTTTTATATAAATAACTTCGTATCAGAAAAAAATATTTACGAGTATGAATTTTATTGTTTAATTGATTAACGAAATTATTCTGCAATAATTAAATATCTTTTTTCTTAATGCTATCGTATAAAATGCAGCTTACTCGTTCGATAATTGCATAGTATTATTTCTACAATGTAATATTAACAACCAAATATTAACATTAAAGGCTACATTAATTGTTAATGAAAATTCGTTATAAATGACTTGAGATTCATAGTGTTAAATGTACAATGATATACGTGGATAGAAAGCTACAATACATTTAATATTCCAATAATCGATGGCTTAAAATTAATAAAAAATCTTGTTGACGTTGAGATTAGGAAAAATGTAAATCTTGTAAATGTCTCGTTATAAAATATTAATTCTCATCATTTATTGTCCAAATAAAATAATCTATAAATATGATAAAACTTAGATTATAACACTATTACAATAAATAAATAATCATTAATAATTAATTGAGTATTAATAAATTTGCTATTTTAAAATAATAGGCTTAAATATTATTATTATATTTATTAAAAAAAAAAAAGAAGAAAAAAATGAAAAACAAGTAGAATTATTTATTATTTCAGTATTTATAAAATGATGAATTTTAAGCATTGGATATTGTAACATTAGATATTATACCTTTAGTTATTGACTGACTGATCTATTTTATTTAAATGCATGACGTAATACCACGAAGACAATGAAAAACCTTGTAATATTTAATCATTCGATTAAATGATCAACCATGTGTTTAAATATAATCTTGGATAATATTTTATGACTGCTACCAATTAATAGACACTATATAATAAATCGGATAAGTTTTCAAGATTCAGTTTTTTATCTATAAGTATCAATATGAATTTTCAATTATTAATTTTTTTATTTCTAGAATCAATCATAGGTAAGCTTAATTAATACTATCACTATTTCAAAGAAAATTTTAGTTAAATAAAATTGCCTTCAAATACATGTTAACTACAAAAATAATGATTTTAAGCACGAATAGGTAACCTATACTTGCAGATAAATAAGACACTAAGAGATTCGCGAGTATGCTGAGGTAGCATCCATCTTTTCTTCGACAATCGTAGAGAAACTTGAGGGAGTTCCCAGGGTGTAGTATGGGTAAGGGTAAGAATGATATGGTATGGCTAAGGATAGGATATTGCCATATAAATAAGCGGGTCACCCGAACAGTGCCAAAGAGTCAACTGTAATTATTACTGTAAAAAATAATTTACCTAGCTGTTTGAATACAATAAATTATTAAAAATTAAAATTACGTTAATCGAAGTTTTTCGAGTCAAGTGTAATTTTTACGTAGCCCACGGATATTTTCATGAGATATAGTTAATGAATATTTCATTAATTTCATTACAGAATTAAATACAAAATTTTCATTTCACATAGAATAAACACGACAACGACTATTTAGAAAAGTTTTATAAAATAAATAAATAAATAAAAAAATTAATAAATAAATAAATAAATAAATAAAAAAAATTAATATATAAAAAAAATAAATAAATAAAATAATAAATAAATAAAATAATAAATAAATAAAATAATAAATAAATTAATTAATTAATTAATTAATTAATAAAAAAAAATTATCATATAAACTATACAAAATATTATACAATAGAATATTGTTGTTAGAACACAATAGAATTCATTAGAGTATTATTTATAGAATTCAATAGAATATTAATTAGAGCTAATATAGAAGAATACAACCACATTTATATATATATATATATATATATATATATATATATTTACACAGTATCTTTTTACATTATTTTAAATACTTGAAAGTAGCTTTTGCCAATTCCTATCTTAAATATGGGTTTTAAATATTTTTTATAAAGTTAGAATAATTTGTAATAAATCCCTATTTTGTTTTTCCATTGTGTTTAATATGAAACATTTTTTTATTAAATTTATACAATATGTACATCGATTTATTATAAATTTATTAAATGCATAGATCTAGTAATGATATAATGTTCCAATAATTAAATTAATTTTGCTTCATATTGCGCTTATTTAAAAAAAATTTTCTCCCTAATAAAATTTATCTTATTATGAAAATAATAAAACAATAAAGTGTAATATAATAAATATTCCATAATACATTTCATCAAAGAATTTTGAATTGATTTTGACAAAACGAGAGATGTAGTTAAGTAACGAAAAGTTAGTAAAGTTCTTATATAAGATTATTTACTTTTGGCTAGATTAAATAATAAGAAATTAGATATTTCGATATTTAGTATAAGAATATATTTCTTCAAACTCACATAAAATAAATACGAAATTATACGCTAAAACAAAATTCACATCTGCTAAAAAATAATATAGTAAAATAACTATTGATTATGTATTTTATGATTAATCTTTTCCATATGTAATAAATTAATTAATATTTATTTAGAAAAAGAATAATTTATAATATATTTTAAATGTTTTTAAAAATATATTCATAAATATACTGACATTATTATGCTTAGGTCTATGAGAGCAAGTATTAAATTAAAGAGCAAGTATCATGATATTACTGTATTCACTTATTTTAAAATATACCTTTCTCTTTACATCGAGATATCTAAATAAGTTGTAATATTTTTTTAGCTACCATGGCTAAAAATGTAAGGATAATTGGTGGTGAAGACGCAGATATAACAGAATTTCCTTATATGGCATCGTTTCGAATTTATAAAGATGAACTACTAATTTGCGGTGGTGCAATTATTAGTCATCAACATATTCTTACAGCTGCACATTGTTTTGAAAATCGAAGAAAATCGGATATAAGGGTATACTTGGGCACTACAAATTCCAGAAATTATTCAATACCATATTACAAGATACGTAACGTTGCGGCTCATCCAAACTATCTCAAAATTGATAAGAAATCTCGATGGACTGTACTTAACGACATCGCTATCGTAACCGTAAGTTTAACAATGTACATGACAATAGCACTTGGATTCAAATATAATTTATTCTTTAATGTCTTATTAACATCAAAATAAATTACAAGCGTTAAAAGCTTAAAATTGTGTTTCGTAATAAAAATTTTTTCTACACGATCGACTATTAAGTATCATATATTATGATCGTTATCAAGGATTGAAAAATTTGTAAATTGAGCAGTAAATTGGTATTGCACATTGGCACATTTGTCTAGACAAGTAAATTGGTTTAGACAAAAAAAAAAAAAAAAAAAAAAAAAAAAAAAACAAATTTCAATTTTTTTACAGACACCTTAAGACATATGAACTAAGATATTATTATAGAGAAAAAAAACACATAACTATGTGACTAATTAAATAAATCCTTTCCATAATAAACAATTGATAATCATCAACAATGTATTCATACTTTAATTGAGTATTTGTTTAAAAATTATCATGGATTTTATATCAATTCAAAGTATAGAAATTTTTTTATTCTATATGCATTATGAAATTGATAGAAGCAATTAAAATATATGTTTTTAACATCTAGGTAATCGTGATAATCGTTAATAGTGCACGAATATTGAAAAATCAGTTTATTTTATTGTCTTATGTATTTTGATTTTACCTTTAGATATTGAATAAATATAAGAGTTATCGTAATTTATATTAAAAATTAAATCGATATAATAATCATGTTATAGGCTATATTATCAATTTTATAATCTTAAAACAATTTTAATAAAAAAATTATTTAAGTAATAAATCCTGGCCCTACGATATGTTCATAGATATTATACCTCTTATTATAAATGATTTGAGAAAAAAATTATTTTTTAAGAATAAATAACATTTTATAGATTGAACCCAATATTGAATTCAATGCATTTCAAAATAAAATTGATCTTCCCACCAAAGAAATTAAAGTTGGAGAAACTGCTATAATGACTGGCTGGGGATGGAGAACCTATCCAAAAGGCACGACTTCTAATACTTTGCAAAAAATCTCTATGAAAGTTATTCCAAATTGCGAGTATGACCGTGACTATCCACATATGGTTAATGATGATCATCTTTGCGCATTTACAGAGGAGAAAGCTGGTATATGCATGGTTAGTTGGTTAATAATATTAAGTATCGAATATAAATAAATATAATCGAATTTAATTTCAATTCCTATGTTTTATTAATTTATATGATTATCTTTCATTTCAATTATTACTAGTTTATTACATGGTTAGATTTATTAAAAAATTCTTTTTTTCATAATTTTACAGGGTGACAGTGGTGGACCCTTAGTGAGTCATGGCAAAGTCATCGGTATATGCTCTTTTGGACGTTTATGTGCTTTAGGTGATCCAGATGTATATGCAAAAGTTTATTCTTACTTAGATTTTATTAAATCTTGTATGAATTCAGTGAGTGATTCAAACAGTACGTGTTGTTGTTTGATACTATAAAATTGATAATCATTTGCTAAACTATTTAAATTCTAATATATATAATAATGTTAATTATTTGAAATAATATTATTTAATCTAAATACTAATAAATAAATAATTATTTATTAAGTATTTATAAAGCATATATTCTGTAAATATAGATATAAATATAGATCTACTGTAAAAGAAATATCCACGATCATTGCTATTTTTATGTACTTTGACATACAGAATATACATTTCGAGGATATATATTCAACTATTTTTCTTTTCTTCGTACATATTTGCAATCTCGCCCCCCCCCCCCTCTTCTGTCTCTTTCATTGCCCTCCTGCCCACAAATCACTCGCCACAATCTATCATGAAAATATCCATTAAACATTATTATCATTAAATAATTGAAATTGTATAATTATATATATATATATATATATATATATATATATATACAGTATATTTATGCTTCAATGATTGAAGTGTATTATTCTATATGTATAAAATTATAATATTTATCGATTAATAACAAATTAATAACAAATGAAAAATATCTTATACGCTTTAGTATTAGTAATTATTTAAATAACTAAATATTATATTTAATGCATTCATTATTTAGTTATGGAACAGAAAGTAAATTAAAGTTATTTTTAACAACATTAATTTACTCTTCTTAATATTAATCCTAATATTAATAGTTAATTTAGATTTACCATATTATTACTTACTAAGTAAACTTAATATCAATTTCTGATGTTTTATTATAGTTTTCAATAATACTTGAGATATCGTTCTAATATTCCTTAAAAATTATATAATAATAAATAAGGGAAATTTTAATTACGAGAAAAAATGTAAGAATTATTACAAAATCATAAAATTAATAATCTATAAATACATAGCGTTTCGAGATAAATGGATATTAACATAAATGTTTTTCATAAGTAAACATAAAATTTCGCATAACAATTTTGAAATTTACATACTTCAAATATGTTATTATAGAAAATTTTAATGTTTGTATGTAGTCGCATTAGACAAAAAAACAAGGAAATTTTATCATCATACATATCTTGTTTTGCTAGACGTACGACGTGTGATAAAGCATTATATTACACATACAACAATAGAAACATAATTGATATTAGTTTATATAGATTCGATTTAAAACTTAATTTCGAAAAAATATGTTGAACACATTTTATCGAATAAAGATGTTGACTAGTTAATAATCTTGTTTAATAATCGACACAATCTTATTTAAAATGTTGATAATATAATAGTCAAGAATTTATTGAGGCTACGTGACGAATAGCACGTCATTTCCTGTTGTATTATAAACTTCAAAATTAATTGTCTTTTCATACATTATTTATATGCACTAATCAATCACTCTAAGTTGCTTAATTATATTTTAAAGTGTAAATTAAATTAAGTGTTATATAAAGTGTGCTATGAAGGGGAATTTCTTAATAATATTTGTGAACATCGCATGCATAACTAAAATTTACCATTTGTTTTGAATACAACTTGTCAACATTTATATATAAACTTTATTTGACAGAAATACTACATTTGACATAGAACTATATTGCTTTTTTTTCAATAAGATAAATTGTAATGTAGCTATTACTCATTACCGATAAATTTTACTTTTAAGTAGTATAAAAGTTAGAAATAAATATTTGAAATAATGTTGTTAATAAATAGTATCGATATAAATTAAAATATTATTTAATACCACCAATTTAAGTAATTATTTTTACATAATATATTGGAAATTCGACGTATTAAGCGATATCTCGATTGACTAAACTTTACCTTAAAATTCTTATTCATATTTTGTATTAAAAAAGAAATATTATATTATTAAAAATTCATCATATATATTAAAAAATTCAAATCAATACGAGTTGTTAATCAAATTAAGCGCAATATTAAACGGAGTCTTAGTAAGAATTACCTATTTTTAAAATAAAGCTAATAATCAATTTTAGTTCAATTTCATAATATTGTACAAGAATATCTTTTAATTATCTAGTAGTATTATTATTGTTAAAAAAAATTTTCTAATACATATGAAATTCATAATTTGTTGTATTTAACATCAAATTATATTTAAAACAAATTTTTATATTAGCTTAATTTTTCAGTAATTTTTTAACTATTAATATTTAAAAAATTTTTAATTATTGAAAGTGAATAATTAGAATTTAAAACAAATTTACTTAAAAAACTAGATAAATATTTTATAAAGAACTATATACATTAAATATAAATATGTATATAAGTGGAAATATAAAGTATGAACGTGTGGTTTAATTTAGGATAAGCTACAATAAAAATGTATCTCACATTTCATTATGATTATTGTAAAATATTGCAAAGTTAATTAAATATAATAGTTTATTTAAAATTTTACAAATTGAAATTTTTTATTTATATAATCTTGGAATAAGTTCATAGACTTAAACAGAAATTTTTTTGCTTCGTACTTGATTGAAAAAATCATTTTTTTAAACAATTTCAATTTTTACAAATGTATACAAGCCAATAATGCTACATAATTCGACATAATGCGAAAATTCATGTTTATTTAGACCATCTTTTTCAAATTTGTGAATAAATTTTTAGAATTTTTGTTTTATAAATTATTTTTATAATATATTTATTGGAATTAAAAATTCGCATTTTTATTAAATTGATTATTATTTATAAATGAAGTAAATTTTTATGTAAATCAGTTTCACTAATTCTTTTTTATATACCCAAATTTTCACTGAAAATTCTTCTTTAACTTGTAAATATTACCTTTTTTTTTTAAATTAAAATGCTTAATGCCTCCATCTAAATGGAAGTAATAAAAGAAATATATATTTTTATATATATTAGTAAAACTTAATATTATTTTCATTTGTATTCTTCACTAATAAGTGAACTACTATACATACTTCTACTAATACATTGACAGAATATAGTAAGTCTTTTCGATGAAAGTATGCTCAATCACAAAAGGTAGTTCATTACAAATTTAATATTTACAATTTATTTATACATTTAGTTTATAATAAGATTACTGTAAAGTATTAATATACTAAAATAAGTTTAATTATAAAGAAAATTCTTTTTTTATTTTTTCACTATATGTATAAGGTTATATATAAATATATATAACCTTAAATTAACGAACAGAATTATTTTAATTTTTAAGCATTTGGTTGCATAGAATACTATTCATATCAACAGAAAAACTACTTTATGAACTATGACATAAATTGTAAAAATTTATCACCTTTATAAATCTAATACAGAGATGTCTATCGTTATTGTGAGGCTTTTACTGTATTTCGTTTAAATATAGTAACAGAATATATCATATCTTACCTAAGTAAATCATTCTGATAAAATTTTGAATAAATTTGAAAAAACTTAAAGCATACGAAAATTTTAATAACTAATATTTGTTATTGGGGGTTTCCATAAATTTAGAATTATTTGATTTAAACACTGATGATCTTCTTTAAATAATTTTAAACTTGAAAATTTATATTTAGTTTAAGAACTTATTGATATCATAAAATAACGATTCATTTAATTTTTACGTTATCATATTCTATTTTATTTTTGAAAAATAATATCTCATACTTTTTGCTAATTATTTTATAATTTTTTTTTAAAAACAATTATACATTTTTATACAAAATTATTAAAATATACATCTTTATAATTTTAAATAATTACATTGATTGTGATTGTCACCTATTTAATTTCATAAAATATTTATAATATTATACATATTTACATTTACAAAATTTTTTTTTAACTACATACTTTAAAGTTTTTTTATTTTTAATATAACTTTTTATATTATGTTTGACTTATTATACTAACACATTATATTGTATTACGATAGAGAATTTTTACTATTTACTCATTCATAAAAATATCTGTTTTCATTTTAGGCTGATTTGATAAAAAAAAAAAAAATATATATATATATATATATATATATATATATATAATTAAACTAATATAGTTACTTCAATAAGAAAGTGAAATTTTTATTTTATCTCTTAATTATACATAACCAGCAAGTTTAAGAAAATTCGATCAGTCAATAGTTCATTAAAGTTTGTATATATAAATATCGTACTATTTAATGTTTCTATAATATAATACAGTAAAAAGACATATATAACAGACTGAAATACTTCTTTTTTACTTACTTATACATAATATAATGAATATTCAATTAATAATTTTCCTGTGCTTCACACCAAATATTAGTAAGTTGAATAAATAATTTTGCAATTCAATCAGCATTTAGAATTTATTAAAATTTGATATTGATAAATTGTACCATTTTTATTATTTACATATCCTTACATACATAAATACAAGTTATGTAATTGTGTATTAATTTGTTATAAGTAATATTTCCATTTTCATAAAACATATCTTAAGCTTCATAATGTATCATATATATATAAATTGAATATTTAATATTGAATTTGATTGTTTCTTAAGTAAAATATTATTATTCATAAAAAAGATTATTTTAGTTATATTTAAACTTTTATTGAAGCAGCTTATATAAATTTCAATAATATTCATATTATATTACATAGAAAATTTTTTTTTTTTTTTTTTTTTTTTTTAATATATTCTAATTCAATATATTATTTTTAAATATTATTTTAATTATATACTTTTTTATAAAACGGCAAGTAATCAATAATAGTAATCTGTATTTAAGAATTAAAAATATAATTATAATACATGAATTAAAAAAAAGTAAAAGTTCTATTTATGGGGTGCTGTAACAATACATCTAATATCCGTACATCAAACTCTGTAGAATGCATATTAAAATTTGATATTACTTTGAAATAAATAAAAATTTTTACACACATTACATAATTAGAAATAATAATATATAATCTATTTAATCTATATTCAAATTTCTTATCCTCTGCTCGTATGATTGAAATAAAACTAAACAAGTTATATTCTTGCAATATATCAAAAGTAGAAACTGTTTCTATATTTCTTATTTTAATTATTATAATTTAAAATATTATATTTCTACTAAACAAATTAATAAGCAACAATGGAAAATTTATGTATACAGGAAAAAAAAAAATTTAATATTATTTTATTTAAAACGCAATTATATATTCTCAATAAGAAATGTTATTTATCATAATTAAAAAAGATAAACTTGAAAATGATATTTTACATTTACAATATTTACAATAACGATAAGACTACTTAAATTAATTCAAAAATTGAAATATCGGATTGCTCAAAGGAAAAATTATTTATATTACAAGTCAACTATACTAATTAATAATTATTAATAACAGTCTCATAGTTTTAGTTGTTTTCGCTAAAAATGTAAAAATCATTGGTGGTGTGGATGCAGATATAAAGGAAATTCCTTATATAGCATCGTTAAGACAATTTAAAAAAGAAGAACATTTTTGTAGTGGTGCAATTATTAGTCATTATCATATTCTTACGGCAGCTCATTGTATAGATAGTTTAGATAAATCGGAAGTTCGGATTTATGTAGGATCCGCTAATTCTTCAAATTATACAGGACCATATTATAATATACAAGACATCAAAATGCATCCAAAGTATAATAAAGCAAACATAAAAAAATTGAAAACCCGTTACGATATTGCTGTTCTCACAGTAAGTTGTTAAATATTTAGTGAAATTATTAATAGTTATTTATATTTCAAATTATTTCGAAATACGTAAATAATAAATTAATACATGTGCTTGCTCGTACTCTACTTATATTATAAATAAAAACTATTTATTTATAATAAAATTTGTTATCTTTTTTCTATTTTGAATAATCTATATATATATATATATATATATATATTTGCTAATGGACATAAAGTTTATTACTCAAATATAAAAAAAAAAAATTATTTTCATTGTTAAAGTTTTCCCTCATTATAATAGCTATTTTAATATATAATGGATATAATATAATGGATATATAATGCATATAAACAAAAATTTATTATACATTTTTTATTAGGTTTATCCACGCATTCCTTTCAATCAATTTCAAAATAAAATAAATCTCCCAAATCAAGATATTGAGACTGGTGAACTCGGTTTAATAAGTGGCTGGGGATGGAAAACTTATCCAATAGGTTGGATTTCTGATACATTACAAAAGCTCAGTATGTGGATCATTTCAAATGAGCAATGCGCCAACTACTTTACAAACTTGATTCGTGAGGAGCATATTTGCGTATATCGTAACCGAGAAACCGGCACATGCTTCGTAAGATATTTAATTAATTTCATAAGATAATAACGTACAATTTATATATGGTACCCCAATTTAATATTGTAGCACATGCAATTTAACAATCTGTTTGCTCAATTGTATGCCTTGATTTTTTTTTGCTTTTATTTTATTACTACTCACTCTTACTTCAAGTATTTCATTATTATTTACATACCGTTGTTTTACACTTAAATAAAAAAAGAATACTATTTGATTATTATTATATTGCAGGGCGATAGCGGTGGGCCATTAATTAATAATAATACACTCATCGGTATTTCATCTATAAACAGTCCATGTGCTTCGGGCGATCCCGATGTATACGTCAGAGTTTATACCTTTTTGGAATTTATCAATTCCATTATAAATTGTCACTGTGTTCCATTTGACTGCAATTGTTTATAAAAGAATAGTTTAAAAAATTAAATAATGAATAAATTTAATTGAAATAATAAGTAGATTATTATAGTAGAGTTATAACAACCTAGATGATAATTCTTACAAGTAAATAAGAATTAATTAAGAAAAAAGAGCTTATACGTATCGCGACACTATACTCCAAAGAAAAACTCTTTCTCAATATCTTCACAGAAAAATGGATTACCAAACTGTTATTCATATATGCTTAACGATACAGTAACATCGACCATAAATCAATAAATAAATAGAATACGAGTGTCGCATTATATTAAAAATGGCTGATATTTCATCAAATATTTCAATGGGTCAATGCAAACTATAATGTACAATAAAGAAAAATAATCGTCAGCCCGTGCCGATTAGAAGGGATGTAATATTAGTTAAACATATTTTTATCTTCTTTTTACTTCACCTCTCTCTCTCAACTTTAACTTCTGGTTTCATGATCTCGAGTAGAAACGTATCATTGTATTTAAAAAAACTTCTAGTCTCGGCTCTACGTACGATACCAATTTTTATATCTATCCTTGTTACTACGGGAAGAAAGAATGTATAATGAAATTTACGACGCCAACTATATAATGTATGACGCATCACCAAATACACCATGAATTAAAATTTAAATTATCATTTAAAATGCAAAATTCGAAAATATTTATTTTTAAAATTGACGGGAAGACAGTGAAGTACTGAAGAATATAAAAATAAATTAGAAATGGTTTAAAACAATTTGAATAATTTAAGGACCTTAAGTAGTTAGCTTTCTCTTACACAATGATATAAATTTACAATATTAATTATTATAATAAATTATATAATTAGTTATAAACTATATAATGTTAATAACAGTTATTAAAAGAAAGAACTATCAAATAGTTTAATTATAAGCGATATCAATAATGTTAAACAATTACAAATAAAGCTCTTTTAAATTACTAGTAAAAAATAAATATCATTTTCTTCTAATATTTACATAATTTATATATTCTATTTATGAATTTAAATGTGACATTATTTTTACTCTATGCTGAGTATAATTATTTAATATATTTAAATGAACTTTACATCAACTTCTTTTATTTTTAAGTTTATTATAGTTAGTAAATATTATTTATCATATCATTCTTTATATATATATATATATATATATATATATATATATATATATATGCTCCAAAAATTATTATTATCTACGTAAAAATAAACAGTTCTAAATTGAATTGTACTTAATTACGATAAAATTAAGAAAAGAGATCAAATTGACATTAAGAGTAGATTATTATAACATCAAAAATATAAATACAATAACATAGAATTAGTAAGTGTTTTTTAAATTCTCAATTGTATCTGTATGTAACATAAATTATTTGCATACAATACGTTATTATTAAAATTTTTCATTCTACCTTGTAAATGTATTTTGATTTATTTTATACGTAGTATATAAAATCAAGAAAATATTTCAAAATAACGGGAATTTCATTGGTAATAATAGATAAATCTATATCTGATTGCAATATATTATTAGTTAATAGGTTGACCTACATACAGCATCGGCATTCAAATTCATAATCTTGAATAATATTTTCAACATAATAAGAAATTGCTATCAATAGACATTACATATATAATATCAAAAGAATTGCAATTTCTTTTTAATTTGTTTAATCAATGATTCTATTCTTGATAATATCGTTAATTTACTTAACCCTTTAAAAATAACTATTTATGCATTTTTTAAATATTGACTTAGAAAGTGTGTATATAATAATATAATTTCTCAATCTTTGCTGAATTTAACCATTAATTTGTAATAATTTTTAGACTTAATTAATTAGAAAACACTAAAGTGAATATAACAAGTGCAGCTATTGAGAAGCGTTTACATAGATAATTTCACAATCTAAACACAATGAACTAAAACGTGATAGAAATACAATTATATCGCATCATATTATACTTGTACCAGAATTAAAATCTTTAAATAAAAAATAACCTTGTGTATAATACAATGAAAAAATATGATTACTTATTCTTTTTAAAAGAATATTTGATGTAATTGCGTAAAAATAAAGTATAATTGTATATTATTGAATTAATTTATGTAATGATTAGACGTATGAATAAATAAAAGTAATAAGTACTGTTCTGCATTAATATGACAAGCACTGGTTATACGCATCTATATAATAAAACTGATAAGCTTTTATAACAGGCACTCAATTATTTATAAGCGTTAACATGAATTTTTATTTAGTAACTTACACATGTCTAATAATTATTGTTGGTAAGTTAAAAACATTTTTTTTTTTATCAGTATATATAATTATAAATTATATAAATTATATAAATCATACGAGTACGTATGAATTTGTATATATTAAAAATTATTTTTGCATTACCCTTGAACATAATTGTTAGTATAAATCAATTAATGCCATTAATATAAAACGATATAAAACACTCATTTATTATTTATATAATAAAATTTAATGTTCGATCGATGATTTTGTATAAGCATATAGTATACATAATAATATATTATAGTATACAATAACAGACAGATTATAAATGATATAATCATATTATAAGAACAGATGTAATAAAAACTATTAAACTGTTTAAATTTGATAAGTCATTTAATTGTAGCTTCATAGTACTATGTTATTGTATTTTAAAAATTCGTATTCGAATATTCGTATTCGAAAGAAAAAAAAATTTCTGCCTACAAATACATTTTGTAAGATTACAAAATATCATTTTTTCTTTTTAAAGTAGACGTATATTTTTTATTTTTATAAGAGGAAATTTTGTTATTTAAAATCATATAATATCTTATATTATATAAAATATATATTTTACCACATTATATCAAACTATTATAAAATATTGGATAAAATTAAATGGGAACAGAATTGATAGTTCATAAGCACGACCGAATAAATAATATAGACTTAGGAAAAAATGATAATAACTTCAAAGAACGTAAGAAAGTTTTTATAAAATAATGTACATTTTTTACTTACGTGTATATATGGAAGATACACATAAAGAAATAAATTATCGTGAATGGATTTATAACATATTTATAGATAAAAGTATTGATTTTTACTCATAAGTATATAATAAAATTACATAAAAAATATACATCAATTTTGAAATAAAATAATTTCTATTTCTTATAAAATTGCTAATTTACTTTCCCTTTCAATGATATTTATATTATTTATAATCGTTTAAAAGTTTCTGCTTTATATTATATATTATAAATTATAATATATTCAATATATTTTTACTTTTTAAATGATAAATATTGATAATCTATGTACAAAACTAAAGTCACATAATGACTATATCGCATGCCCTTAATAGAACAAATTCGTTCGGACATAATAATATAGAACTAGGAATATTATTACACATCTTAGCCGTATTATTACAAATAACAAGTGGTTTCATCTATAAATAGAAACTCAATGTAAACATCTATATAACACAAAAAATTCCTTTCAAATTTAATATATGTAAACAATATTTGATGATATATCAAATGAATTTTCTGTAATATACTATATACTAAATAACATACTTGAAAAGAAAAAAATAGATATCAGTTCATTTTCTTCGCATAATAGATTTCAAATATTGACAACAAATAATCAAAGTCGAATTAAAGAATATATATTTAAAAAATAGTTTTACAATGAATTCTTTATATATATATATATATATATATATATGACAATCGTCTCTTTAGATTCATTAATAATTTATACTATTAATAATTTATAATATAAATGCAATAAAATACATTTGATACTAATAAAACAAGACATGTGAATAATTTAAATATCATAAACTTCGATCCAATAATTTTAATAATTATTGGGTTTATTTTAGTTGCCAACGCTAAGATTGTAAAGGTCGTCGGAGGTGAAAATGCCGTAATAAGAGATTTTCCTTATATTGCATCATTAAGACAGCACAATGAACGGCATCATTTTTGCGGTGGTGTTATTATTAGTAATCGGCATATTATTACAGCAGCTCATTGTGTTTATGACATAGAAAATGATGGATTTAAAGTTTATGTAGGAACATCTAATTCATCCCTTTTCTCAATACCATTTTACAATGTCAAAAATGTTAAAATGCACCCCGAATTTATTGGAAAAGAAAACACAGAATGGAAATTATATAATGATATTGCTATTATCACGGTATGTTTACAATATTAATGAAAAAATAACTATTTCGTGCGTATTCTCTGATATTAATTAATAAATTGAAAACTTAAACATATAATCATATTATTACTACAAAAGGACTACATTTTAAAGGACAATTTTCAGACATTCATTTTCTAATATTAGAAGAATTATATTCAAACGTTTATATTGTTTATTTAGGTTATTTTGTTCCTAAGGATATTAATATTATTAAATGCAATGTAATCGGAACGCATGATTAAAACAATTTTCTTAATTATTAAGATTTTTAAAATCTTTAAGTTCAACTGTTAGACATATTACAATAACACAAATGCTTTAGATGCTTTAACGCAATTTTTATTAAGCATTTGCGTGTACACATAAAAATATTTAAATTTCGATGCATAAATAGTAAAAATTACTTATTTACAGGCGTTTCATTATAATACACAGAAATTTTGAATTTGATTATATCTAAAGTTTTTTAATAATTTAACAAAATTTCTTTTACAATGTTATAATAATTACAACAATTTTTTATTAATATATAGTAAAATATGCAACTGATTATTATACAAATTTTTTACAATTTTAAATTATAATAAGATTTTAAAATATTACAGAATGGCTTTAATTTTCAACACATTATCAAATAACTGCTTTTATCAAAGTAGAAATAATTCTTTGAAAGGTAACTATTCGAGCCTTTTTTATGCTATTTATCAAATACAATTATCATATTCATTTACATAATTCAAAATAAAATAAAGAAAATATATTTCTTGAGTAGAGCAATAATAATACCAAAGTCTCAAAAAATATTTACTTTTCATGCATTATAATATTTTTATAAATTAACAAAATTTAACAACATTTAGTAAAATGAAGCAATAAAATTCCTATTTAATTATTTTCAAATATTATCTAAATTTTAGAAATAAAATAGTAATTAATAATCTAATTTATTTATTAAAATAATACAAACACATGACATTAAGCATAACAATATCTTATGCAATTGTAATTTTAACATTCATAATAATTTACATTATTAATACTAATTTATATAAATTTTTTAATCATTTATATGATACTGTATGAAAAAGAAAATGAATTCAAATATAAAACAATGAGAGAAAAAAAATTATTCACAATATTTCTATGTTATAAAATAGACATATTATCAAATTAATTTATAAATTATTTATAAATAAATTATTTAAAAATTAATTATATCCTTATTGATATGAAGTATTTTAAAATACATCTGTGTACTATTCCATGAAACTAACAAATGAAATAAGTAAATTTTTTAAACTAAAAATTTTAATAAAGGTACATTATATTACGTTTCTACGGACTAAATTAAATTAAAATAGAAAATTATTTTTTTCGTAGGTCGATCCATGTATTAAATTCAATGAATTTCAAAACAAGATAAAACTTCCAACTTCAAATATTGGACCTGATAATGTTGGGGTAATCATTGGTTGGGGAAAAATATCATATCCAATTGGTATACCTTATGAGATATTACAAAAAGCTACGACAAAGACTGTTTCAAACGCCGAATGTGCTGTCAGTTATCCAAATTCTATACGGAACGAACAAATCTGCGTCTACGAAGCCCCGGGAATCGGCACATGTCATGCAAGTTTTTTTTTTTTTATTTTTATTATTTATTTCAAAACAAGTCAAAAACTTTGTAATCATCATCATATATACTTGTATAATAGTAATTTTATTTATTTTTTATATGTTATGTGGTAAATAATGATTGTCACTGGACATTTATTAAAACATTTTAGGGCGACAGCGGCGGACCATTTGTTATTAATGGAACACTCATTGGTATTTCATCTTATTCTAAACCATGTGCTTTGGGTCACCCAGATGTATATACAAGAATTTATTCCTACTTAGATTTTATTGCCTCCACTACAAAGTCTTGGAAAAAGTACCTTCCTTGTTTAACTTGATGTAATTTCTTTTGTAAGCGAATAAAATTTGTAAAAAAATATATAATAATCATTTTATAAAATTAATTAATATGCTCCTTATGGATAGTAAAATATTTTTAAAAATGTTGTCATATCAAATTAACTCATTAAAAATCTGTTTACATACTTCTACAGGCCTGGAAATATGTACAACCAATAATATATTTTGACATCTGTCTTTGACAATAGAATCAGATAAATAATATTGGATGTTGATCTACATACACACTTATAAAAGTTACTTACTTGATACATTTTTTAATAGATCTATACCAAAATTATAGTCAATCTGTTTACATAAGACAAATAAAATGTGCAATTAATCTTTATTCTATACTTATAGATAATAATTGTTTTAATATGATAAATTCATTTTTTATTCCCCATAAAACATGGCGTTAATCAAATAGATATAAATATATAAAAATAAGTTTATAATTAGTATTTAATTATCTTAAAGTTTACATTTACATTATAAACATTATAGTTAAATTATCTATTCATTTCATTTAATATATGTGGTATATTAATTTTGTGATTATTGGTTAATTATCGATTGATTATACAATGCAATCTAAAAAAATTATTCTATTAAAAATTTCAACAGTTAATGATGATCTATCATGAATATTTTCTCCCCGATAGACTTTTTTTCTTTCTTTCACCGACCAAAAGACATTGATTAAACAATATTTTATTCTTTTTAAGTAAAATGATGCTTTTTTATATTTCTAAAATGGTATCTATTTATAATTTACCCATGTTACTGTTATTATTCTCACAATTAATATTTTTAATTAAAAAAAAAAAAAATCAGAGGATAATTTATTATTATTGGCGTTTTATCCGCATAAAAAATAAATATACCTTTTATATTAAAATACAATTATTTAATTTCATAATTCATAAATTAAATATCGTCAATTATTTTTGTATAATGCAGCTTGTAAAAACTTTATATAATTAGTTTATATAATTAGTTACGTCATATTCAACGTATACTTTTTGATTAGAATTTTTATTCTATATTTACCTATATTATTTTTATTTCACTAATACTTTGACTTATTTGTTATTAATAACAATCTTACTGATTGCAAATAATTATAATTCATAAATTAATTAGGTTTAATGGTACCTAATGGTTATTATACTTTACATAGCCTTGTGCAGCAACGGAATCAGCACATATTGTTATCTTAAACCCCTTAATAATTTGAGATAATTTTTTTTGATATATGTAACATTAAATACTATTAGAACAAAGGAGCAGGATTAAAAATCTTATAATGCTCTTTAATAAAAAAAAAAAAGTTGCATTAAAGCTTTGTTATAACTAAAAATACAATGAAGGAAAGATAAAAAGGAGAAACATAGTGTTTTTCATTCCCAAATTCTGATTTTTCAAAAAATTATACTATAAAATAAATTTTTCGGTTACACTTAAAATTGTCTTAAAAAATAAATCGAAAATTAAGTTAAATATAAAATTTATTTGCTTTTAAGAAAACTTTTAAACATAAATTTAATGTATCAATGTGTATAAGAATAATATTTACTTTAATTAAAAGTCATTAGTATTGCAATAACACTTATTGCATCATTAACATTACATCATAAACATAAAGTACTTTTAAAATTTCCTTCAATCGATTACAATACTAAATTTTTATATAAATCTTAATTATTGAATTGACAAATCTAAGATTTGAATCAGAAATAGTTCTTATAATAATATTGTTTTTATTAGTTCGCAAATAATACGGAATAATTTGATTAAAATTAGGATCTTTTAAAAGAATTTTAAATAACATGCATATGGAATGAAAATCTAGAGTAGAAATTTAAAAACTATCATTTGTAAAGTATGCATAAACAAACTATTGCGAAAAATCAGAATTTAAAAAAATGATATATTTTATAAAATTCAGATCGAAATATAAAAATAATACACTAAAAAGGAAACAAATAAAAAAAAATAAAAAATAAAAAACACATAATTGTAAAAAGAAAAGTTTTAATCAACTTCTATGTACCCACGTAAAAATAAATAAATTCAGAAAAAATTAATAGTCTAAATGAAATAAAGTTTTTACGAAAAACGAATTAGAAAAATCAATATTAAATATGAGAATGATTAAAAATAGTAAATCTGATTAAAATATGTAATACGCATTTTTCGAATTAAACAAGCATATCCAGAGAAAATTCTTTGTTGAAAATATATCTAATTTTAATTATGCAATTTGAAAGAGATACGTAGAAATTATAAATAATTATTTTTTAATTTAATTGAAAATAGCCTAATAATAAAAGTAATAAAAAAAATCACTTATTTAAAAAAATAATATCAATAAAAGAAATTAATATTGATGGATAATTTAAGTATAATATAAATAAAATATATATTTAAAATATATTTACATTAAATTATATAATTATATAATTATATAATTATAATTAAATGTGTCAAAATCATATAAATGTCCTTGATATTGTGAATAATGGCTATATAATTACATTCTATATGAGACTAAAAAATATTTTACAAAAATAAGGAATGTACAATAGATGAAAGGAATATCAAAATTAAATAAAAAATTCAACTAATGAAGTGATAAAAGTAAGAAAATGTAGAATATTATCAATGCAGTTATTGATTGGAATAAATTAAAAGATTTTAATTTAGTTTTATTCATAACCATTAACTTTTTTGTACAAAAATATTTAAATAACAACTAATTTTTAATATACGTAATCAAAATATAAACTATTAAATAATTGTAACCAACTAACTCCATAAATAAATCTACTGTCACAATTAATTACAAAGTTACAGTTACGTTTCTGCAAACAGAATTTTTCAATTTTGAATTATTTACACATCTAATGATTCTCAAGATACATCATGATGTTGAAAATAAAATTTATATTTACGTAAAATATTATCAGATATTTTTACTATCTTTATATTTATAGTTATACATATTGAATAGACAACTGGTTAAATATGAATTTATCTAATTTTGGAAAGTTATACAACTAAACTCGTAAATGTTTTTAACTTTCAAGAATTACGACAGATCCATTGAAAAATATTATTATTAAATAAATTTGTTACAAATGACATATGAAAAATATAAGTAAGAATTACATCAATGTTTCATTATACTAGAATAAAATTCTGTAAACAATAAATTAATTAATATATACGATATTAATTTACACGATTGTAATTATAATGTTTAAAAAAAAGAAAGTTATTTTTTGCTTATTTATGATAATTTAAAATAATTCTTAATGAGAATTTTGAAAATTGCATCATTCATTCTATATTTTAAAAAAGTTGAGCATGTGAACAAATAAATCTTCATTAATATTCTTTAATTATATGATACATGATTATTTTAGTAGTTATATAATGCTCATAATAACGACACAATTTTCATTATCTAATTAGTAAATTCCGAAATGATTTTACGACTAGTAATATTTTTGTGCTTAGAAATAGTTACTGGTAAGAATAATATATTTTGCATAAAAATAAAACAATATATTGCTTTACGATCAATTTATTAATAATACGAGATTTAGTACCAAGGAAAGAGATTTAATTTTTTTTATACTAAGAATAAACATGTACGAAATAATTAATTGTAAATATATCTATTATGATAGAAAAGTAAATATGTTATTTAAAAGGATTTTTATATAATTTTACGGCATATTAATATAACATTAAGATATTTAATTATATATTCAATTGATAAAATTTACGAAAGTATGAATTAAATAACAAGAATGAATAACAAAATTACAAAAAGTTTAGAGAGAATGAATTACAAAGAACATAAATAAATGATAATAAATTTAAGTAAATAAAGTTTAATAAGGATTAAAGTAAAAAATAATATGGTTTGTGTTTTTATTTCAAAATTTTTTATAGACACCAAAATTTCAAATATTTGAAAGAATTTTTATTAAAATAACATATTGATAAATTAAATCTGATTGATGTACATACATACAAGTAACTTATTTATGGTTTATATATAATAATAAATATATTAATAAGTGAACTTTGTATTACTAAAACACAAATTATTACTTTTTTTATAAACTAAGTTGAATCATATTTATCTTATGAATCATAAATTTAATAATGAAAAAATTGGAAATAATCAAATGTATATTATCATTAATAATTTAATCAAACGTTTAATAACACTTACTCGTATGAAATAGTATACAAATTATATATTCTATATATAATTACACTATATATATAGATCCTCGATTAATTTCAAATGTTTGAATATTAAAACTAATTTTATTTTATTTACAATTATTACATTAATTTTATCATATATAATAAAACTACTTTGTAATAATCAAATCTCATTAAATATAATGAAATTGCAAAAGACGACCTGTCGATAATTGAAATATTATTTATAGGTACTTTAGGCAAACATGTAAAGATCATTGGTGGGCAAAACGCCAATATAGAAGATTACCCATTTATGGCAAGACTGAGAAAAAGAAGCGATCGGAAAACAGTCTGTGGTGGTATAATTATCACCAAACAACATATTCTTACAGCTGCTCACTGCTTTGATAATCTTCCTTACAGTGCTGTAACAGTTCATACCGGTAGTACATTGAATAGTGTCAATGAGCCGAGTTTCGCAATCAAAGAAATTGAGATTCATCCAGAATATATTGGAGTATTTTCAGAGAATAATCAGTTATACAATGACATCGCTGTAGCACAGGCAAATGAAAACTTATTTATTGAACAAATCAATCTATACTCTCATATTTATTTATACTTTTAAATACGTACTTATAAAAGTATCTGTCAGTTAAAATTTTAATAATGCCTTCTTCCTGTTTTTGAAATTCTAAAAATACTCATAAGTCTCCGAAACACTTATCAGTAATTAAAATTACTTTGTAAAAGCATTCATATGCCACTTAGACTATTCGTTAATAAGGTAAAATAAGATTTAGCATGTTCGATATTCTAATATTTCAAATACTTAAAATTAATTAAAATTGTGTTATATCAAGGATATATATATATATATATATATATATATCAATAGTTTTTAATAATTGTTGAGTAAAAAAATTTTAAATAATAAATATTTTTAGTTAGAAACATTTTACTATTAAAATTAATTTTTGCATAAACAAAAATATATAAAAAGTCTACTTTTAAATATTTTAAATATATAACACAATACACATTTTTAAAATATAAGACATAATATTTCAATTATAATTATTACGATTTTTGTAAATATAACGAATTCTATACGAATTATAGATAAAGCGATAATAAAAATATGCAATTAGAGTAATTCACATATTGGACTAAATTAACTTTGAAACAAATTTAAAAAGAATATATAATTTAACATTGAAGAATTTTATAAGTATAAAATTAATTAAAAGTAATATCAATTTAAAAACTGTATTAATATCAAAAAAAAAAAAAAAAAAAACGATTGTAATAAAGAAAATATGAATAATGTAATTTAAATATAAATTAAATGAAAACCGTTCAAATTTTTACATAACATATAAAAATTACCATTTTATAGAATTTGTTATAAAAATTATTAAAAAAATTAAAAATTAATATTACAAGATATTGTACATATCACATAAACTAATCATTAAATCAATAATGCATTTAAATTGGTAAAACTATTTATCTATAAAAAAAAAAATCTGATAAATAATTATTTATAAATCAAAAAGTTTATAACTACAATAATTGACGAAAATTTCATGCAACAATTGCCTTTAGAAATTGATATACTTTGGAACTTTATTAATATATATATATATATATATATATTTATATAATCAATTTCAAAATTTGAATAATCAAGTCGTATATTTATTTATTACATAGAAATAATATATGGAGCCTATTTTAATAAAATAATTAAATAAACACTAAATTTTCATTATGAAATTCTTAAATTGCTGGAAATAAAGAATTCCATTAATTAGGATAAATTAAATATACAAAAAGTTAAATATAATGAAAGACATAAATATTTATCATGGCAATATATTAGGTGTTTCAATCAATTTAGCTTTAGAATATATTATTATTAAATTTTAAAATGAGAGTTATGGTTTTTTTAAATTTTTAATTTAGAAATTAAGAATATAATATATAATATATGATCCCATATTGATATGAATTGTTATTTTATTTTATTTTATTTTATTACTATGTCTTATTTGTTGTCTTATTTTCGTAAAATTTTTAAATATTTATTTAGATTTTGGAATTATGAAATATTTTGTAAAATTGAAGCATATGATGTGAAAACTAATATTCCATATAATAATAATTATAAACAAAATGAAAGTAAATAGATATTTAATGTGAGTAGGGAAATATAATATATTTTTACATAAAATATGATAGACCATTAATATTACGATAATAAGATGATGTTGATAAAATTTTATAGATAAATTAAGTAAATTAAAAAATACATAAATAAAATACAGACAATGTCATATAGGGATATAAGGCATATTATCTTTATTTCCAAGTAAAGTTTTGTAATAATAATGTTAGACTTATCACAAATAATAATCATTAAAAAGTATTGATATTTTAATAATATTATATTCTAATAATTAATTTTCTTTCAATAAAAAATTAATTAACAATAGAAACATAAAAATTTCTGTTCTAGCTATACACATGTTTGCACTTCAATCAATTCCAAAATAAAATAAACTTACCAATTAGAAATACTGAATTTGATGACAGAGCTCAAATTCTCGGCTGGGGCAAAACGTCGTGTGTAGGTTGCTTTTATGAAATATTGCAAGTAGCGACGACAACAATTCTTAAAAATGAAGATTGCGCCCAATTTTTTCCATACAGTATTGCGAGCAATCAAATTTGTACACATGAACAAGACGGAGTCGGCATTTCTATCGTAAGTTTTTCAAATAACTTTTTAACTAACATATTGATTAATAATGAAATTTATATATAAAAAGTATATTAATGATAATTATAAGTAAATTCCTAATAGTTAATTTAATTTTCAACTTTATAAATGTCTTAATTACGTTTTTCTTTTTATATTTTGCGATATAAAATTTAAACTGCATATAAGTGCTTGAGAGACGGAGTCAATATATTTAATAACCAATTCATTTTTAGAGTGACAGCGGTGGACCTTTGATCGACAATAATGGAGAACTTGTTGGCATCGCATCAATTTGCAACTTATATGTTATAGGTAATGTGGAGATTTATACCAGAGTTTACTTCTATCTGGAATTTATCATGACAGCAATAAATGTAATTAACTGTTTTTAAGTGTATGCATAATGAAAATAAAATATTTGCAAGTATACAAAGTTCTATAACATTTTGAGTGACTTCATAATCATAATGGAGTATGTCAAATAACTATATAAATATATAGAACAATACATAATTGATATTTTATTTTATAAATTGCTTACTTATTATATAATAATTTTATTAAGCGCGACAACATTAAAGAAATTTAGTTACTTTCCATTGTAATGTATAATAGTAATGTATACAATATAGATAATATTTAATACAAATACTATTAAGAAACTATGGTGAAACAATAACCAAAAAATTTTTATTCAATCATTTATCTTTAATACAATACTGATAGTCTTGCTGATAAAATAAAAAAAAAAAAAAAAAATTAATTTTTATTTCGTCAACAATTAAGATATAACATCGTTTAAGAAATTATTCTTATGTGGAGTATAATTTGTGGGCAAAACGAAGAATTATTATTTAAATTTAAATTTATAACCAAAATTTTTATGTCTTAACAATAGATAAATTGAAAATAAAAGAATGTAAAATATGAATCAAATAAATGTTTCATAACTATATTATTTCAATACATGAATCTTGAAAATTATTATTTCATATTTCAAGAAAAAATAATAGTATCTGCTTCTGCTCTATCATCGCTGATAGATACTCTACGTTTCTTTGTTTAAAAGAGATTACGCTGGATAATTTTTTTTTCTATTATATTCGATGTCACTACCTCTATTTGCCTTTTTACTTCTACATCTGATCAATTTAGAATTAATCTGTCAAAAGTCGAAATAAATAATCGACGAAAAAAGGCAAATATTACTACGAACAAAATAAAAGCGAGGAAGAAATGAAATCACGATAATAACAATTATATTTTTTAATTATATGATTTGAATTAAGTCGAGCCTCGATACTTTTCAGTAATATCATTATCTGTAATAAATATTTTAATTACAATACAATTGTTTTGTTATTAATAATTACTTTGTATAACGCTGTGTAATTAGAAAACTTAATTTCTTTATTGAGAATTTATTTCTTTATTTTTAAAATTTAAAGACTGGCACATTTAAGTAGCAAAAAAAAAGCACCGAACGTTATATTACTCGATTGTATCATTAGAATTCCAAACAGCAAAAAATGAGCTTTTTAAATTTGTTATTCTGTTTCAAAATAAAAATAAATTACGAGGTTAAAGTGTATCATTTATTCGTATAAGCATTATTCCGAATTGATGCCCTTCGTCTTAAATGATATTGCGAAACTCAATTAATATAATAATTAAATATTCTTACTTAAATAATAATTATAATGTTTAAAACTTGAAACTAATAGTAAGAGAGTTTTAATTGTTCTATAGATTGGCGTATTTAATGTAAACTTTATATAGCCATATAATAGTGATAATGATATTAGTATAACACTTTTTGTTTTATATCATATTAAAATTAAAACATTTGTTGGCATTATTTAAATATTTTGAACAACTCCTAATAAAATGTGGATAACATCGATATTTATAGTAATCATGACCAGATAATTTCAATTAACAAATACAAAATAATTTTACATAACGATAAAAGGTACATTCAAACTTAATCAATTATTTTATTAGACAAAAAATTATTAATAATATTTATCTTATAATTGTTAATAGCTTTATATGTGTTGTGAATTAACGTAAATAATAGATTACAATGAAATCCAACTACAATTGTTGGAGAAGAAAAGGATTATTTTAATATTTTAATTAATATTCTGTTTAAATTTAATATTTAAATTAGCGGATTATTCAAAGAACGTGAATCAATGAACTAAAAAAAATGTTGTCGATCTAATTGAAAAGGCAGAAATGTAACAGAATAATTAAGCATAATAATTATTTATATACTTTTTATGTTAAATTGCATAATCTCGAAATTCCAGTTGATAAAACAGATTTCAGAAACCTTTCTTATCTACATAAATTCAAATAAAAATTTTTTTTTTTGTTACTTATTTTTTTATTTTCTTTACATAGAATGTATATATATATATATATATATATATATACATATATATAAAATACATATAAAAAGATATTAATAATAATCATGTAGATGTACGGTAATGTAACTATATGTAAAAATACAAAATCTATATTCTTTTTTAAATATTAATTTCTGTACAAGTTTAGTATAATATAAGTAAAATATATTTAAAGCATACAATGCATAGAAAATAAAGACTGTAAATTTGAATGTAAACGATATAGAGGATGGGAGAAAAAAAAAAGAATGAAAGAAAATGGGAAATGAATGGGAAGAAAAGCCAATTTTGCTTTCCTTCATGATGATTAACGAAACATCTGTAAACAATTTGCACTAATAATAAGATAATCTTAATATAATAAATATATTTTCATTGTTAAATATCAAATTTCTCGATTCGAACTTCGATATTCTACAAAGCCATTTTGAATTCTTATTTGCATTCTAGAATGCAAATAAATATACAATACTTTATCATTTAAATATTATTCAGACACGAGACAAAATACAAAAACTGATTTTTTATACTAAAATCTGCATTTGCTTACATATTATAATATATATTATATTCTTAATAACTTATTGTCTATTTTTACAATTGATAAAAAATGAACAAAATCTATTATCATTTTTCAATATTTATATTTTGTCTTTAATTATATAAAAATATATATTAATTATCAAATAAAATATTGTAATATATTATTGTTGTGTATTTGATAAAAATATAATTAGTAAATCGTTTTCCTTTAATTTTACATATCAATGTTTAACGATTGTTACATTGATGATATTTCCATTAGATGCTCATGTCAAACGTTCAAGCTTACTCCATATTAACATATAAGAAACTGACATTAAAACACTGACATTATCTATATACTTATGATCGAATTCAACTTAAGCACAGCTATTTAAATATGGTTCAATCATTATTTTGAAAATGTATAAAGTAAAATTGTAATATTGCAAATTTAAATATAAACTTTTACTAAACTTAAATAATATGTTTAACTTTGATTCGGATGTAAGGCAAATATAAAATAAATATTATAATTTTTTACTTAATCTCTCTTAGTGGTATCCAAAAGACCTAAAAATCGTCAATTCAATCTTCAATTAACGTAAAAATTATCAAAAATTTTTTAACGTAATAATGTTTACTGTAAAAAAATTTTTTATGTGAATCTAATCTGAAAATATCTTCGAATCTAACTATGATATTTAAAATCTTTTCAAATTTTATAAATTTATTATAAGTATTATAAAGCGTGTTACATAAGTATAAATATAAATTCCGATCTAGGGTACGACAATAATAATTTAAAAAAAAAAAATTCAACATTTTATAAAAGTTATAGATATTATTTACATATATACAAATAGTATATAAACACATGTGCAATAAATTAATTTCACATTATTCATTTATGAATAAATAGATTAATAAATTATTTAATCAATTAATTTTTATTTAATATTTAATTATATAATTAATTATTAATTAATTTAAAAAATTAATAAATCACAAAAAAAGGTTTTATTGAAACAATAATATCTTAATTCTAATCTTCATAAAAGACCATATTATCAGAAAAGAAATAATACCACTTTAACACTCTCGCAGAAAATATTATTCAATTTTACATTTTATTAAATTTTATTTAAAATAAAATATTAAATTATTCTTACGTACTATTTAGTTTTATCTGTAGCGTTTAGCTATATAGTGACTTATCTAAGTAAACATAGAGATTTGTAGCAATAATATATCTATGATTAACAATTGTTTTTAATATTATTTTACAAATGTTAATGTTGCTCTGAAAATACAAGTGATATTTAGTCATTGTCGACAAATATTTTAAGAAATTATTTTTTAAAATCTGAAAATTTGCATTATTCAATCTGTATACAGAATACACGTGAATAAATATAATCTTCGTTAATGTATTATCTTATGATATGATAATTAGTATTTTCATATACTTATATAACGAGTACGATTAAATTTCAATTATTATTGACCAATTTAAATGTTGAAATGATTTTACGATTGGTAACATTTTTCTGTTTAGTCATAAATATTACCGGTAAGTTTAATGAATTCCTCTAAATATTTTTCCATAATTATTTATAAATAAATGTCAAAATAACAACATAATTTTTCATTGAAAAATATAAACATTGAATAATAGCTACGTTTAGTTGTAAGAATAATATAAATATAAATTATAAGAGAGAATAAGGATATTTGCCATTAATTTATTTAAGAATTGACACAAATTCAGTAACTTTATCTTCTTAGAAGTAAGTGGATAAACTAAATATTCATATCGATATTTAAAATATACATTATATTACGATTATCTGTATAAATGAAAATTATTATAATTAATTTACTAATTAAAAAATGTTTGCTCCCTTGGGAATAAAATCCTGTATATTAGATTAAATATATTATTGTAAATCTATAAGTGTAACGCTTAGTGTAAAAGGAGCATTAAATTGATTTTTTTTTTTTTTTTTTTTTTTTTTAATGTTCAGCCATATGAGTAACTCGTACTTTTGAAAGCTCATTACGAATTATTGTCAAAAAATTTTGAAATTGTTTTAAATATTAAAGTTGAAAACACATATCTTTTACATAATGATATATTCAAATTTTACTAGACACGTTTTAATTAAACTATTCTTAAGATGCTTTATATTAGTATCGTAAACGTGAGTTACAATAACATAATATAAAAACTAAATATTGTTTAAAAGTTTATTTTCAGTGATATATTTTATTCTAATTCTTTTGCATTAATTTTGTATTAATTTTTGATAATATGTAATTAGCGCGTATTAGACGACAGCATCGAACAAATTTCGTTAGTAACACAATCTTTATGTACGCGCATGCACATATGTGTCAAATAAAAGTATAACACTCATAAAAAATATAATTAAAAAAGGGTAATAAAATAAAATTTTGAAATTTCTGAATTTCAATTAGAAAGTCAAGAAATTATTTTTATCATCGTCATTTTGATAAAACTTAAATCTGTAATCCTTATAGATAATACAATAGAAATAGATCCTTATTAATCAGAAAGTAAATAAATAATTTTTTGCTATATTCATTGAAGTGAACTATTTTTAGATGTCTTAGGCAAGAAATATACGAGAATTATTGGCGGAATGAACGTTGAAATAAAAGACTATCCTTTCATGGTTGCATTAAAACATATTAAAGACAAAGTACAATATTGCGGTGGTGCAATCATTACTAAACGGCACATAATCACAGCGGCTCACTGTGTTGACATATACCCGTATCATGAAATTAGGGCCTACATTGGTAGTAATGCAAGGTCTTCGACTGGACCAAGTTATGAATTGGAAAGGGTTAATATTCATCCTGGATATACGGGAAACATGATGAGAGAAAGTTGTTTATATCACGACATCGCTGTTGTTACGGTATTCTATAATATATATATTTAGTATATATATTATATATATACTATATATAATAAAATAATTATAAAATTATATTCTAGATGTGCGCGCGCGCGCTCGCGTGCATCTTACCATATAAAATACACTTGAGAACTTATAGTGAAATAAAAAGATAATTATTCTATTCTTTGTAATTGGTAAATGTGTAAATAGAAAAAATCCTCTAAAAATTCTAATATCTAGGATAACTCTTTTTTCTTTTCATTAAAATTTTCTCAAAATTTAAATATTTAATTTCAATCGTTTGTTATATTTTTTTATTGGTCTGCAAAACATTACCAAAAAGTGGTTTTTAATCATTGACGTTTAAAATTTGTATTGAAATAATAAGTCAAATTGTATTATAATATAGCTGACAAATCGTATTATTAGATACATAAATTAATCTATTGAATGGAATATGAAGGTATATTTTGTTGATTGAAAAATTAGAAATCTTAAGTAACGTGAAAAATATAATGCAATTTAAATATTTAAAAAGATAATTTTTTAATTAATACGTTATTTTACTTGTTTATTCAAATTTCACTTTCTCAATTGTATATATAATTACTTATAAGAAAAATGAAAATCACGCCGAAAAGTTTCAACGTTTTGGTACAATAATTTACTTTAGAAGTAAAATATTTACTTTTATAGGTGAAAGGCTGCATGCACTTCAATAGATTTCAACACGCGGTAAAACTACCAACTGATAATATCGAAGTTGGCACCACAACCATGATTATAGGTTGGGGAACAACATCATACCCAGAAGGTGAACCATCCGAGATATTGCAAATGGCAAAAATGAAAATCCTTAAAACTCAAGAATGCATTACGGCAACTCGATATGCAATTCGCGCCATACAAGTTTGTGCATTCAACGGAAATGGAGTTGGCACGTGTATTGTAAGTTTATTAAAAATTGCTAAAACTGACAATGAAAATACCTTCGATTGGCCTATTTTTCATGCTAAATTATAATTTGATTCTTTTTTTTATTTATATAAAATACACTCTGTATGTTTGATAATAGTAAAATATAAACGATTTATAGGGTGACAGTGGCGGACCATTAATCAATACTAAAGGAGTACTTGTTGGCATTGCTTCATTTTGTTATCTTTGTGCCAAAGGATTACCTGACGTTTACACCAGGATATTTTATTATCTAGAGTTTATCAACAGAATTATAAATCCAATAAATTTTCAGTGCTGTACGATTTTATAAGATGCAATTTATTAAAAACAAAAAACAAAAAATCAATGAGAAAAAAAATATATTTATTGTTACCGATTCAAACTGTCTTTTATTATAAGAATATTTCATACGATTTTGTATTTTTTATTACATATATTTCAATTGAATTATTACAATTAATAAGGAAAAATTATACCAATGGTCATTCATATTAAATTCATATTTATATAGGAATTTATTTTATAAATATTTTATATAATATTGTATATTACCAACGTTGTCTCTGTCAGTCTCAATTCTAGAGAGTATTTCTTTTAATTTTCTCCTCCGTTGCTAACGATGGTGAACGACAATGTAGATTTAGACCTCCTGTTATTTAAAAATCTTGGAAAAGTGTCACCGTTTCAATTACGTTAAGGCATAAGTTGCAGCGTTTTCTCTCTCCTTTATAGCGTTGCTATTTTTTTTTTTAGTTCAACACCGCCAACCGATATATCAGAATCATCTAAATGCAGTTATTATGTATTTATTTGTTTTCAAATAAGTTAAAATGTAATATTAGAAACACAAAGAATTCATTTAGTCAAATATGTTTAATAAAATTTCAAACAACAATCTTCAATAATCAATATAAAATTTAAGTTGGTTCATTTAAACTTAATTTATTTATTATATTTGTAAAAATTTGATAAATAAACTTTTAATATTTATCTGATAGACATTATAAATTTATTCCGAATGCGTATGAATATTAATGAATATTATATTTACATTTCAATTACATAATAAAAAAATATTTTAGCTACATTTAAAAATATAATTGGGAAAAAGTGATACAGGATCAAAATGTCCTTAAAAAACGAAAAATAGCAGTATCAATAAATGAATCAGCAAATCAATAATTACTTTTGCATTATATTATGTTAAATTAAAAAATGTAATTAATTTTTATATTATTTTAATTAATATGTATGCAACAAATTATCTTTTTTTTATTTATAAATATTTCACGATGCAGTTCTAAAAAATCCAAAGATCACACAAATACGATTCGTTGTATGTCAAGATTTTATAAATAAATCAGAAATTGCTATTGAAACCATATACTAAACAGATTCATTATTTTACAAAAAATTATACATGCATGAAATTATACACGATAGGTAAATGCACGTATATATATATATATTAATTAGATAAATTGATTTTGTAATTTTCCCGCTATTTTATCTGCCATCTACATTCTTAAAGTGCAATTTTTATTGAATTCTGTATGAAAGTCACAAGTTTACGTTATCGTACACGTGTTGTATGTATTGATGGTAATACATGTTTTCTTTTATCTTACAATAAATAAAGATCATGTAGTGATTAAAATATTTATTACTACTAGATCAGCATTTTTATCTTACAATTAAATAAAAGTTTATTAAGTTTAAAAAATTTCATTTCTTATAATACAGGTTATATTTTTCGCATTAATACAATTATTTACACATTTATTTAAATATCAAAATGTCTATTTTGTATAATAATAATAACAATTGTAATATTTTTTTAGAATACATATTAAGGAATAATAATGGCAAAAATAAAAAATAAAAAATCAAATTTGGCAGATAATTATGCCAAAATTAGAAAGCAACAGTTAAATAAAAAAACTCTTACACCTTTTGAAATACATGTGAATAAAACCAAGCAAAATGTGCTGGGTAGAAAGAGCAAGGTTGATCATGGATTGCCAGGAATTGCTAGAACCAAAGCAATTACTAAGCGTAAAAACACATTACTCCTTGAATACAAAGTTAAAGACAAAGATAATATTTTCCTAGACCGTAGGATAGGAGAAAAAAATTCTGGTATGTCAGAAGAAGATAAAGCGATGGCAAGATTTGCTGCAGAAAGAATAAAAGCGCATAAAAAGAAAGATATCTTTAACTTAAATGATGAAGAAATATTAACTCACAGAGGACAATCTTTAATTGACATTGAAAAATACGATAATCCAAGAAGTGACGAGGATGATTATAGCGATGACGAAAATAAGACAGGGAAGTTGGATAAAAAATTTGTTGAAGATGCGCATTTTGGTGGTGGTGTATTATCAAAATCTACATCTCAGATGTCCAGAAAAGACTTGATAGATCAGTTAATTTATGAGTCAAAAAAGCGCAAAGCCGAAAGACAAAAAATAAGGGAACAAACAATTGATTTAACAGAAAAATTAGACTCTGAGTGGCATGACTTATTACCATTGGTTTCATCATCCAAATTGAAAGAAATTGAAGACAAACCAAAAGTTGATGATTATGACATATCCTTAAGAACATTGAAGTATGAAGCAAGAGGAATGCCAACTGATAAATTAAAATCAGAAGAAGAAATTGTTAAGAAAGAAAAACTAGCTCTTGAAAAATTAGAAGAAGATAGATTGATGAGAATGAAAGGATTTTCGGATGAAGCAGAATTTCAGAGAAATCACAAGTCAGCTGATGATTTAGATAATTTTAAAATTGAAAGAATTGAAGATAAATCATCAGATAATGAAAGTAACGATGATAAAATAAAATTGATTAAATTATGTAACGCGGAAATAACAAAGAATAAAAAAAATAATTCCGAAGAAGAAGTTAATAATGAAATAGATCAGGATAACGATGATGATAAAGAAGATGAAGAAGGAAATAAAATAGATGAAGACTCGGATGAAAATATTGAAGAAGAATCAGATAATTTATCCGATTTAAAAGATTCTGACTCATCCGATAATGAAAAAGAAGAAAACGTAGAAGATAAAGCCTTTGCAAATGCAAATAATATCCAAGCAGTTGAAAAAGCTTTATGTAAAAATATTGAATGTATAAAAGGAAATAACATCAAAGCAAATGATGATTCAATAGCCTCTAGCAACAATTCCAAAGCTGATGTAAGTATCGGCATAAAGGAAGCAATGATGGAGAAAGCTCGACAAGAATTACCATATACTTTCACAGCTCCAGTAACATATAAAGAACTACAAGCTTTAATTAAAGATTACAATCCAGATTATCAATCGGTTGTTATTGAAAGAATTATTAAATGCAATCACTGGAAATTATCTAATGAAAATAAAGAGAAGCTATCAAATTTATTTTCATTTCTTTTACAATATTTAAATGACTGTACATTTGGGAACGATTTAGAAGAATTAACAAAATTCTTTCAACTTTTTGATAGGCTATGTCCGCATTTATATGATTTAACTCATGCAAATCCAGAATCAACAAAACTCTGCTTACATGATATATTAAAAGAGAAACACAGTATATTTGAAAAAAGTATAAAAACTTATCCTAAATTAGATACGGTAAGTAATATTTATTTTAAATTGTAAAATAATTTTCAATATCGTCACATCTTACAAACGTTTTTTGTTTTATTTATTAAAAAACTATTGTTTATTAGATTTAATATAAGATTTTTTTTACTTTAATAAATTCTTTATAATCTCTATTTTTTTCTACATAAGTATTTCATAATAAATTATGTAATAAAATTTATATATTTATTTTAGCTATTTCTATTTAAATTAGTATCAATTTTATACCCTACATCAGATTTTAGACATCCAATTGTTACTCCGTGTTTAGTCTTTATGTCACAAATTTTATTCAAATGTAAAGTAAGAAGAAAACAAGATATTTCTAAGGGTCTTTTCTTGTGTACACTTATATTAGAGGTAAATATCTAAATTTCAATACTTTTATTTCTATCTTTTAACATAAGATATATTTTTATTATATATAACATTACTTATTAGTTTTATAAATTATTTATATTTTTCAGTACACAATACTCAATAAAAGATGGTCACCGTCCGTTATAAATTTCCTTCGAGGAATAATTTTCATTTCTCTACCGAAACCATTTTCAAAGCTTATTAAAGTACTTCCACCATTTAAAACAGCCAACGAATTTAGTAATTTATTGGTTCTTGAGGAAGATCAGAAAAATTTAAAAGTGAATTCCGTAACAACTAGAATGCTAATAGAAGATCTATGTTCAGAGGCATTAGACGATAGCTATAGACTAAGAACATTTATAACTACAATAAATTTATTACATGAGTTTAAGGAGCAATACAAAGAACTAGATTCTGCTTATTATATTTTTGAGCCTATTTTAACATTATTAAAATACGGCTCTTTAGAAAGATATCCAGCTGAAGTTAAAAAGAAAGTAAATGATTTAGTAGCTGACTTGACAAAATTGAATGACAAAAAATTGAAATATCTTGTGTTTAATAAAAAGAAACCAAAAGCATTACGAATGTACGAACCACGAATTGAAGTTGTGTAAGTGAGCTTTGTTATTGTTATATTGAAAGTCATTCTTGAGAGTAGTAAAATAAGTATATAAAATTCTTTGATATCGATAATGATTGCAATTTTAGAATAAATACATAATTATTTAGGCTAATATATTAAGATAATTTTTTGATGAAAAGATTACAGCTGTTATTTTAATAAATATAATATAATTTTTACAGATACGATGGTAAGAAGCACAAACCCATGTCCAAAGCAAAGGCTGAAAGAGAAAAATTGCTTCACAAGCTTAAGAAAGAAACAAAGAGTGCTATTCGAGAGGTACGAAAAGATAATGCATTCTTATCTAAAGTAAAAATAAAGCAGCAAATTGCAAGTGATATAGAACGTAAGCGAAAGGTTAAAGAAATTTTCGGCGATGCTGCAAAACAACAGAGTGAAATTAAAAAATTCAAAAGAAAGTAATATATTACTGTAAATATATCGAATTGTATAAAAATTATAAATAAAATAGTCTTACAAATTACAAAGTAATCTAAAACAATGAAGTTTTTTTAGTATTTTTGTGTACAAAAAAATTTTTAAAGAAATTTGTGACTTAAAAAATCTATATGTATTTCTTGATAGAAATATAAATAAAGATTTTCTCTATACTTCTTTTATTTAATAACTAGATTGATATTTTCTTAATTAACATAAATTATAAAAATATTCTTTGAAATAATGCTTATGCTCATTATTTTACTTATATTTAATTAATAATTACAAGTAAACACTTTCCTTTCATAAACCAAATCAAAGGATTTAATATAAAAATTCAATTGTAAAAAATTGATAATCAGATATTTCATATGACTTGATAATGTCTGTGTCAATTAAATGTTTTGTATCATTATCCTTATAAAGATAATTGTTTCATCATATTTTGAATTATTTATATTTTATTTTAGACATCCTTAATATTTTCAATAATTTTTTATTAAAATGTTTGATTCCAATATATTACCTTTCAAAATATACTTATAAATTATTTGACTAATACAATAATAATATTATGATGAAAAAAAAAAAATAATGTTTTAAAATACTTTTATTTACAATTGTGAACGTAAAATTATGATCCATAGTTTAATTTTTCATTTCAAATCAGAAGATTTAATATAAAATAATCGTTTTAACTGCCATGTGCATATAATTTTCTTGTTTTTAAGTCTGCCTTTGAGTTTAAGCAATTATATATATTGAAAACAAGTTTAATTGAGATTCTAAACACTTCTAAATTCTTTCGTTATTTGTAAAATTCATTAACATTTTCATATTAAAAAAAAGAAAGAATACTTTCTGAATTTAAATTGAATTCTCTGTGAAACAAATAATCTTATAATCGGTACACAATATTATTAAATCAAAGCGAATAATAATAATTTAAAAAAAAAAAATAAATAAAAATACAACTCACTTTAATATCCACAAACTAATATCTACCATTTTAATCTGTACTACGAAATATTTTCACTGTCAACTTTTAAAAATGTCTACGTACATAATGTGAAATAAATGGAAGGCATAAGGAAAGTTGATATATTATTTAGTTAATAATTATTAATGCGATATAAAACATTAACGTAAATATGCATAGTATATAAAATGATCTATGAAAATAGTATATTGTAAATTGTATAGAAATTATGTTCGAAATATCTTATAAGTTAAATAAAATAATAAATTAAATAAGATTGCTAATATGTATTTCAATAATAATAATTATAAAAATATTTCTTCTTTTTCTAAGAATATTATCTAATTTTGCTAATGTACTGCCAAATGAAATTCAATTAACTATATGAAGATAAATTCGTTTTATTTGAAATTCGAGTAAAAATACGAGAAAGAATTTAAAAATTTCAGTTATTTGTAATTCTGAAATTGAATCGCATGTCATTTATTTATTACAGAGCACGTTCGAATAATTGAATCGGTACAAATTTTTCAAATTAAATGTAATTTTTCATTAAAGTAGTTGGACACGTAATATAATTCGAAAAATTTCGGATAAAAATCTTTTAGCAAACTTGAATAAACTACAAACCTATCATTTAAAAACTTAAGATAATTTATAGTATATAATGCTAAACTAATAACTTCAGTTCGTCGAATCAACAAGAAATTCTAATGAAATTTTCTGCTTACACACCACCAACACAATAAAACTATAAACAACAAAAAATTAAATTAAAGCTCAATAGATTTATCACCCCAAAGGAATAATAATGTAATAGGAAGGACATTAAAAATGATCGTGTGATATTAAAAGTATTTAATTATTTAAATTTATTATGTATTTAATTTTGAATCGAAATATTCCATGCAACGACGAATAAGTTAGAAAAAATTAGAAAAAGTTACATTTTCCCGCGCGCGCGTCCACGTGCATACTATGCCAGCGAGAAAAATTCGCTATATTTCTATGAATGCTTATACGCTGACAAGTCTTGCGCGAATTTACACGTCTATGCAATTGAATGCATGCACAACTGCACGTGTAAATGCAGATTATGCAGATTGGTGTAGCATGAGAGTGCAGAGCGCCCTTGCGATATTAAGAGACAGCAAACCTTTGAGAATATACGTTTCATCGTTTAATCGCAACCGCTGTTGCCGCTGTTGCCGTAAATTGTAAATATCAACAACGTTGCGGATAGTGTGTACGAGGCGAATAAAAAGTAACGAGGAGCCAGCAGTAAAATATTCTCTCTAACCTCTAATTTAAATATCGCAAGTATTATATTCCTTGCTTCATATGATTTTAAGACCTTGATAAAATAATAGTAATCTTTACGATTGTTGTCGCTTCATGGCAACATAGCTTGCAACAATTGCCTTTTATACAATACTTCTTACAGTCTGGCTCTTTCTTTTAAATATTTCTTTTCATACGTGAAACAGATTATTTTAACGCTGGAACCTTCTCTGACCACCTGATTTTTTTGTCGATTAGACACGATTTTTTTATTTAAAGCGATATAGCGATATCAAGAACGACCCTTTGACAACGAAAACTGTGTTAAGACATAACGTTATAATTATTCATTATTATTTTAAATATACACACACACACACACACACACACACGTATATATATATATGCATGTGTGTGTGCGTGCGTGCGCGCTTGTGTGAATTACGTCCGTCCGTTTAAGTTCATGCAAATTAAGGTTAATTTTACTATCTGTCTAAGTCAGTGCATGAGAATTTGTAACAATTTGTTAAATACGAATATTTATCTTTTACAGAAAATTGCTTTATGTTTGTAGTCTTGCTGATGAACTTTAGCTTACTTAATAAGTGTGTCAACTGCACTATCATGCTTTTCATTTCTTATTTATTGCATATAACACGCAAATAAATGTATACTAATAATTTTGGTATTTTTATTAATATTTTTTATTAATTTTTTTTTATTTTAACATTTATGTATCTTCATTTTTGCTTTTATTTTACAAATTTTTTCAAAATTCAATTTTATAGAGAATAATTGCCAAGATAAATAGATAAACAGCTTTAATCGGATGAAAGTAAATTTAATCAATTTATAATTAAAAATATAATTATTTTTATTCATTTATTATCTAAACAAGTAGTTGTGGTTATATAACGTTCCTCAAGTATATTAATTGATCATTTTTATCAATATGTATTACAGAAGTGTAAAATAAAATTAATATTCATTGTTTTATAATTTTAGTGTACAATGATCTAACGATCAGAAGCTGAGAACAATGTCAAATAATACTAATCCTCATGCTACGGTTAACTGGGATCAAGAAAGAATGGTTCGCATAGAACGTGCTAACATTAATGGTTTATCTAATCTTCATGAAACATTAAGGAGGTTAAGCTCTACCTTTAGGATAGATGAAGATCAAGTAAATTCTAATAATGGTAAGAAAATTAATTGTCAAATTACTTTTCATAAGAAATACTTTAAATTGTACATTAAGATAAATAATTCCAATATGTAATATTAAATTGATTAGAATTAAATATAAATGTTTAATTATAATAATAGTTTTTTTTTTATTAATTAGCGAATGATTATTAGTTTGATTTTAAAGTATTATAACTAAATTGTGCATATCTATAGAAATATTACTTATTTTTTTAACATACCATACTGAACAAAATAGTATATTATTATTTATATTGCAATGAATAAATTAATTCGAATATAATTACAATTGTATTTAAAAAATTTATTATATTATTTTACCTTTTATATTATGTAAGGTTATTCGGTTGCTTATAGAAAATATATTACATAAATGTTATATAAAAATTATATAGATGATTTAGTGTAATTAAAAAATAATCTTAAAATAAATTAGTATATAAATGAGCTATTTGATATTAACAATTTTTCCTGAAGTTAAACTTAACATTAATATATAAAATTTTCTTATAATTTTCTTATAATTGTAATATTTATTGCTTATAAATATCATTACAAAAATTTCATATCTAATATGACAGATTTTGAGCTTTCGCTAGACCTAACAGATGGAGCGTCATCTCCTAACCAAACAACAAGTATTAGACAGTTAAATTCTGAGGATGAGTATGTATTATCATTATTTATTAATTTAGAATCATTTTTTCTTATAAATATATTTTAATATTTTTTATTATTTTTATAGTAAAAGGTATTGTTGGGTATGCTTTGCAACAGATGAAGATGATGTAACAGCTCCATGGGTGAAACCATGTCATTGTCGCGGTACAGCTAAATGGGTACATCAACGCTGTATTCAACGTTGGGTAGATGAAAAACAAAAAGGACGTGCAGGTGTTCATGTTGCCTGTCCACAATGTAACACAGAATACATCATAGTGTATCCTGATATGGGTAAATAACTTATGATTCTTTGGAATATTGTGAGACTACTCTATTTTAATTTATACACAGTCTAATATTAATTTTAACAATTTGAATTAAATATTAGTTCTTATTACATATTTCTATGTTAACACCATTGTTAATTAAAGCTTGTACACTACATAGTTTAACTACATAAATATTAGCAAATTATTTGTAATTTGTAAAATTCATTTAAAATTGAATCATATGTATCGGAAATATTAAATCCTTTAATAGTAGAATAGAAAGTACATCGTGTTTATTTTCATTTTGTGTATTTAAAATATAATTAATGTACATTATTAAATAAAAAATGTTTAAAAGGATGTTAAATTAAGCGACCATTAAAAGTAAATATTTTCGCGTAGTCTACGTCATAAATATTGAATTTATTCATTCTATTGAGGACATACAAAAATTACAGGTACTTTGGTGCTGATACTCGATACAATCGACGGTTTAATATTTCGAGTATGTCCACTAATAGCATATATTGGACAGCTGTGACATATGGTGCAGTGACAGTGATGCAAGTGATTGGTCATAAAGATGGCATGTTGATGATGGAACAAGCCGATCCACTTGTGCTACTCATTGGCCTACCGACAATTCCTATTATGCTCGTATTAGGTAAAATGCTAGATTGGGAGGATCAAGTCCTAAGTTTATTTAGAAGACATGCATACAAAGTTCCACTGTTACAGCGTTTTCTTAAATATCGGTATATAAAAATAATTTTCCACTATAATTTTGATAAAACTTCATTTACACTACATGTATGAATATATTATTTTAACTGCAGTTATTCAGAAGATGATCTAGCACGACCCCAGGACGTTCCCCCAATGACCGATCCAGTACCAGCTACAAGAGTTTTATGCGGAGCTCTTTTACTGCCCACTATTGCAACTATTTGTGGAAAATTATTTTTTTACGGGATAAACTCAAATCTTCAAAGAACTTTATTGGTAGGTGTAGTAAAATTATAAATACAGTATAATTTGTTTCGGTATGATACTACAATTAATGGGCATTTTTTATAAAATATTTAATTAACTTAGGGTGGAGTTGCATTCATAACAATTAAAGGAGCCTTCAAAATTTATTATAAACAACAACAATATATAAGACAACGTCAGAGGCGCGTTATGGATTACACTGAAAGTAACATAGCATTGTACAGGAGACAAAGGAGCTCAGAAGATAACCAGACTAATTAAATATATTAAACGTCATATATCAGTAAAACAGTTAATGAAAAGTATACCAACTGTACAAACTTCTTTGCATGAAAAAAAAAAAAAAAATACTTTGATTCATTTTATTTAGAGACAGATGAAATTGAATATTCTTAAAATATTTTTTTAGATAACGATATTGTAAACTTAAAAGGAATTTTTTGAACTGCTTTGAAGCTTATACAGATTTTTTGAAAATTACAATGTTTTTCATAAATAGGTCTGCAATAGCAGTTTAAAGTATTATCTTAACTAACATACAAATGAATTAGTTCAATTATATAAGAAACATTTCAAGTGAAAAATTGCAGACATATTTACAAATAGAAAAATTATAATTTGCGTATAAATAAGTGAAGATCTTTATAATCTTACATTTTATTTTAAATATGTAATTTATTTATTTACGGTCAGATGAATAGTTTATTTTTTTTTTTTTTTTTTTTTTTTTTTTTTTTTTTTATAAAGGATACATATTCATGTACAAAATGGAATTGTGGTGACTTACATGGTCTTGTAAATTAAAAACTATCTTATTAACAGAAAGATCAGTTTTATTGAAAATTAAAATTTTCTCTAAATGCATAATATTTATTCTTTCTCATGTATAAAAATATAAAATTATTATAGAACTATCCTGGTTATTGAAAATATCGCACAAATCCTTTAAAAGTATTTGTGGATTTTTCCATATATAGAAGTACAATAAAATTTAAAGTTGTACATATACATGTAGACATTTATGCAACTTAAGTTGCACATTTAAGTTCTATGAAAAATACTATAAAATTTAATTCCGGAAAATATTTATCATAGACTTATAAAATAATTATTATATGATATTAAACCTTTAATTATAGTTTTGATTTATATTTTTGAAGTTATACATAACTTAAATAGCTTTTTTCTATCTTTATTCCTTAATAATTTTTTAATTATATAAATTATCATATACTTGTTTCTTTTGCGTAAATTTTTATTTTAATTTATATAAAACAGTCGATACAAAAAGCTAACATACAATCTAGCGTATTATTTTCTCATTAAAATATCTTAAAGTAAGGTCAAATAAGATTCATAATAATACGAATTTGTATCGATGAATAGTAATATAAAATTCAAAGATTTTCTGGTTATCTTACATTGCTTCAATATATTTTGTTCTATTGAATTTTATACTTTAAATAAGTGTTTTCAAATTTTCAATTTTTATCTTATTTTGATTTTTATAGTAAATATTTACATACCGATTTTTGTAAAGTTATATTTAATAAGACCTATAGTTAATATTATAATTAAGTATTTCTTCGATAAATTAATAGTTATTGATTAATCAATCAATTTTACTAATTTGTTGACTGAACATAAAAATCTTATAAATACTTTAGCCTTTGTTAACATAATTATTTGCTAAATTAGTCATTTTAACAGAATTTTTAAATTATTTAAATTTAAAAAATTTAGAAAAAAGCATAACCATTAATTATTTTGCTTCTTTCACTATCAAACTTTATTATAAACAAATATATATTTTTCATAAACATTTGTTAAAATATAAATTTATATCTTTCAATTAATAAAATGATCATAACTTATTAATCGCTAGATGAGAAATTAATAAGAAATATATGCTTTTGCAAACAATTTATAATATTGGTAATACGTATTCACGTATAAAGAAGAGTAAATTTATTAAAAGTTGTTATAATTTACATTATGAACATACTATAATAATACAATCAATGAAAATATAAACGTTGGGGTTAATTGTTAAACTGTGAAGTTTACCAATTTTACTGTGACTTAAGTTTATATTTTCATTAATTACTATGAAATAATTTCATTTAAGATTTTTTAAAAATGCATAATAGAGCATTGTATTTTCTTAATTAAAATGCCAAATTAATAATTTTTAGGAATATATGGTTAATAAAGCGATTGTTAATATTGATCTCTTAATGTAAGTAATTTTATTTCTATTTCACTAATGTAATTTTTAAAATGAATTTAAATAGTTAATAAAATTTAAAACTATACAAATATAAAATCGAATTTCATTACATCTGTATTTATTTTTATCTTAAATGTCTTAGACTAAATAATTATATATATATATATATATATATATATATATATATAAATATATCCAATTATTTCGAGTTCAAAAAATACGTATCGAAACTCATTGTTGTTGACAAATTATAAAATATATGTTAATTTATTTATTTTGTATAATAAAATATTAAACTTATATGTATACAACTTTACTATATAATTCATTTGTATAACATATATAGATAATTATTCATAGAAAATTTTTTTTAAAAAATAGAAATTCGTATAAATTATAAATTAATGATTGATTATATAATTGTAAAGATATGTTTAAACCTAATAGCTTTCAGATTACTCATTATTATATAACTCGTTTGTCTAATAAAAAGTATAAAATCACTGTAATCGGTTTAAGCCCCCAATTTAAATTTTTTCAAATTGATACTTAATCCATATATCTTAAATAACGCATAATCACTGAGTATTACAAACATCAAAAGGTAATTTTAGTTTAATGCGCTCGAGTATGCATATAAATACAACCACTCAATATTTAGAAAATGAAATTAATAAAATATAAGCTATATAATTCATAAAATTTAATCGATATTGATAAGATAATAAGAAAAAAGTAACTGCAATTAATCTCATATATTACTTGGAATATTAGGGAATTACTTTTAAACCCGAAAATAATACTTTTACTTTTTCATTTCATAAGCTGAATAAAAAAAAATGTTAACAATATGTGTTTAATTAAAGTAATATACTATATATACTTTCATTAAAAAATTTTCAATTTATCTAAAAAAGAACAATAAAAAATTTAAATAATCACTATATTATTTTAATATTGTACTTAAAATTATTAATAATTAACGACATCAAAAAACGAATGAATACAAATATTAAGTACGATGTAATAAAAATTTACTTTATTTTTACGAGGTAATCCACTTGAAGTTCAAAACATTCATATAATAAATTATAAACAAATTTTAGATTTTAGAAGAATAAAATGTGGAGACCATTATTTTAATAATTTTTATAAATTAAAATATATACGTATTATTCAAAATAAGAGATTAAAAAAAAAAAAAAAAAAAAAACCCCATTTCAAAGTATATGTATCTATAAACAAACCACCATATAATATATAATAATTCAATTTCCAATAATTATATAACTTATATTATGGAATATTTAATATTACACTAATGGATATGTCATAAAATTAATACTAATATTTTTACAATAAAAACAAATTACTTTTAAAAAACCGCAGTAATCTTAGAATCTCAAACTCCAACATCTGATTTTGCTTTATACTTATATAACGAATTATGCATGAAAATTGTATATTGAAATTTATATAAATATAAGCAAAATGTCAATTTCGTTCTCCTCTTGCGTATAAATTTTTAAAATGTTACTTTTGGCTTATCAGTTTTATTGTCGCAATGAAAATTACGCGCAGCGCCCTCATCGGCAGTAAAAATTTTCATTTCCAATGAAATAACCGTTAAGGCGAAAATGTGATCCAGAAAACAGAGAAGAATGATAATAAATAGTATATAAAGTTTATTATTAAAGGCTGTTTATTGCCAAAGAATGTTAAATATAGTATATTTTAAATTATGATATCAATCTTTTTTATCAAGTAGGTTAGAAACTCGTCGAAAAATATATATTTTTTATTGGTATAAAAAATATTTCTAATGGTTATGTTTATTGTTTACAATTTTCAATTCTATCAGATTTTATTGTATGCACATAAATATGTATACAAATATTTTACTGTAAATACATAAATGCAAGTGTTTCAATTATTAAATAATTGTGCTCTAGGTTTACAAGAATGATAACTGTAAAATATAATTACTAACTTATTACTAATTGAATGTTATTAGTTCAATAGAATTCTTTCTTCTAAACGAAGTATATATTCTAAGGGTTTATTTTTATAAAATATTTTTTTTCAGATACAGTAATATTCATAATGACCGAAGACCGCTTTCAGTCTCTCCTTGCCGATTTAGGAAAAGCTACGTTAAGAGGGGTTCGAAAATGTCCCAAATGTGGTACTTATAATGGTTCTCGAGGAGCTTGTTGTAAAAATAAATATTGCGATGCTATTTTTAAAGAGCCTAGTGAAAGACGTAAATTATCCGCAGAGGCTTGTAAGCTCATTACTGGATCATCTACTCAAGTATTTTCCGTAAGAATTCGTGATAAAGGTCCTGATTATCGAGGATTTGTTCAGCTACCGATAGTAAATTTGATTTCATCGTCCGACGTGATAGCTTCGATAGCCCAAAATTCTGCTCTTTGTTTTGTTGATAATTGTGAAAAAAGTTTTAATAACACTGTACTACAATGTCACGTAAGTTATTAAAATGTTAAATTTATATTGGTTTCTTTAATAAGAAAATGAAATTATAATGTATTTTTAATATATAAGCTTAAATATACTTTCAATAACTAGGAAAAAGAAGCATCTGAAATCTTGACATCAAATTGTCAACACATTCAAGCAGCATTACGTTGTTATGCAGAAGCTCAACCATTAACACTACGAAATTCTATTTTATCTTCGTTAAATGTAAATAATGAAACCAAACAAGAAATTTGGCTACTTGCCACTGAAACTTCAGGACCGTTAGTACAAAGAGTGTCGAAGAATATAATGGCTGTAAAGTGTAAGGCTTCTTCGAAACATCCACTTGGTTATTTACATTTTTCTTTTTTTTCAACAAAATTCAAAGATAAAATTGAGCATAAATTTTTCTGTAGCTGTAATTCGTTTAAGGTAAAGTTTTAAAAAATTAATAAACAATTCTCATCTCATTCAAATTTAAATATTAATATTTATAAATTTAGATATCTTGTAAAGCAAATGAAAATAAAACTGATTCTGCTACAACCAGAAGATGTGTCCACTTTTATGCATGCATATGTGCATTTGCTAGTGAACCTAAACTATCGGAAGAATTTCAATATTATATAAATTTAGATAAAACAGATACTGTTATACAGGAATTGCTTGATTTTCAATTTAATACTAATGAAACCGATAAATTTGTTGAAATGGGTAAATATTATTTTATTTCATTTGCTTATATAGTCGCTAGTTTTATTATATTGTGGTTAATTTTAAGAGAACAGATTAAAAGATATAATATTTCAGATCTTGATAGTTTATCTGACGATACACATCTTTTAATATTTCGAGATGACCCATTAGCAGTTGAAAATCTACAAAACGATAAATTAGATATTGATAATGTAGATTTGGATCCATTGTTATTAGAAGGAAATATTATAGACAATATGAAAACTGAAAGTCATAATTTGCTAGATGGCACCAATAGAATATCAGAGGTAATTTATATATTATTATTTTAACTATTCATTTATATTTTTAAATTGTAGCTTTAAATTGTGACAAATAAATTGTTGGCATTCAAATAAACTTATAATTAATTATTCATCATGAAAATTTTAACAATTTATGTAGAGAGAAACATGCGAAAAGACATTTAACATCATAATATCTACTATTTTAATAATGAAATAATTTTAATAATATAAATTTATAAAATAATGTTTATAGATACAGAATTTAGAAGTGATTGATCAAAATGCTGTGTTTGATGGAAGTACGGTAAAAATAATTCCTGATCCTATTGTGATAGATACTAAATACAGTAATAGCATTGATAATCACATCTTTCTAGATGAAAGTATAAAAACCATAAACGGTACTGCAATAAAAATTCTCGATCACAATTTAATATTTGACGCGAATAGTATTAAGCTAATTGACTCAAATTCAGTATCTATGGATAAAAATAATTCAACTCTCAAAATACCCGTGGGACGTAAAATAAATTCAGTCAAGAGGAAACGCGAAGAAAATAAAAATCTTTCTCCTATTATAAATTTAAACTCTATTGAAAGTAGAAAATCTAAAACAAAAACCAATAGTATGAAGAAGTATCCTAACACATGTGAGAACGTTGATGAATCTAATACAAGTCTCTCCTTCATAAGATGGTTAGTTACAAACCTAAATTAGTTTTAATATTAATTTAATATTTATAATTATAAATTTATAAACGTTTTATAATGATGAATAATGAATATTTTAAAATTAATGTATCGTGAAAAAATAAAATATTCTCCCTATATTTCTCTTATTTTGTAAGCATAAAATTTTTTTTGTAGCGCTATCTATACACACTTTTATTATTAAATTAATTCTTCAATGATTATCTTTATTATTAACTTTTTTACAATTAGCGTTTTTATCTGGTCGTAAATTACTGCCATGAAATAAAATAGAAATTTATTTTATCATAATTATAAAATACATATATAATGTATCGTTAAACTTGCTTTACGTAGATGAGTGAAGTATCTTACTCTTGCAACAAAAAAAGGTAACAAATTACTTATTCTTATGAATTGTTCATTAAATTTTAGGTTGTCATCGATTACGGAACGGATCAACCAAACGATGCATTTTCAGTTCGATGGTAAACCAGAACCATTAGTGTTTCATGTTCCTCAAGCATTTTTCGAGTGCCTACGTGAGCGAATATCATGCGGAACAAAGAAGAAACGGTTACCAAACTCGACAATAGCATTTGTCAGACGTGATGACGTGCCACTTGGTACTTTTACAAAGTACACCTGGCTGATTACCAACATTCTCCATGTAAAAAGTATATTCGAGACACCACTAGTACCATTGGAAATTACCAGAAGTTTCGTGCAAAATGCCGACGGCAATTACGAATTGTACAAAAGAGAAGAGACCGAAATTGACAGATACAAAAAAACAAGTAATAATCCACTCATAAAGCCATTGGAGTTAAAAACATATTTGAAAGTCGGTAAGTTATAAAAGTTTATGCAACTTATAGATGCTGATCTAATATGTCTTCAAAGTACTTCACAGCGATAATGTTATGCTTAATAACATACTGTTACATTCTTGAATTAACGTTATTATTCAATTCCAATGATAAAAATAGTCAATATATATGAATATGAGTATTGAGTAATTTATTAGCTTCGTATTAAATTATATAAATTCAAATAATAAATTAAAGAAATATGAATATGTTGGTTCAAATTGACTTTCTCAGTGACATATATATTTTGTAGTAGTTCTAACGGTAAAAGTATTTCTAATAGACAATGTATTTTAAATTTAATTTATGTATTAACTATTAATATAACTATAAATAAAAGTGAAACAATTTATTAAAAACGCTTTTTAATAAAAGATTTTATTTGCCATTTTAATTTGTTGATAATTTAAAAAAAAATCAATGAAATTAACTATATATTTTTGTTAATAGTATTTATTAGATTAATTTACCACTATATATTACAATTTATTATAACAACAGAACTATAGCTTTTTACAAAATTAAATTTTAAAATTAATTTGTATATTTATGTGAATTTTATTTATGCTCATAATCTTATATTAAGCCGTCATTTTAACAAGAACTTCAATGTGTATTATATTATTAATGAAGAAAATTATTGTATAAATATATTTTTATTTTTTAGGAAATACATCGCCTAATCAAGTTCAACCGACTCCATTTTTAATTGAATGGATACCAGACATTTTACCGATATCAAAAATTGGAGAGCTGAGAATAAGATTTGAATTTGGTCATGTAAAAAATGAATCTCCACAGCGAAAATTATCTAAAAATTATTAGCTTTCTCTAATATACTATTCATTTAAATATTTTTTTTTTATCCGGCTATTATTTTGCTAGAACCAGAAATACGACTTATTATTTTACTCTACATTAAAGTATATTGAAAATAATTACATCGTTAAATTCACGAAAAAAAATTTTATCTTGAACTTGATCTATATTGATGATATTCTAGAAGTCGTTTACTTAATTTCTCACCACAAACTTAATTATAATATAATTCTCTTTTATTATTTATTCTAACTATATGACGTGTCTACTTTTTCTGTAGAATTTCATTATTCTTAACTTAATCATTATATACCTTTTCCATATTTTGTAATATTTTAATCCACATTCTTTCTTTTCAAATGTTTCAAATTCGTTTTCTTTGTATTTTGTAATTTTTTATATAGTCAGATTCTTATAAATATAATGCTATTATTTCTGATGTTCAAACTTCTAAATTATCTATAATATTATATATATATATATATGTATATATATATATATATATATATATATATATATATATATGTATATATATTAGATAATTTTAATAGTTTGTTGTAATATTCTCAAAATTAAGAAATACATTTTATGCGCTATAATTTTAATTTTGTAAAGTATATATTCAAATTAGTTTCAATTGATTTTTATTTTGAATTAGTCTCAAATTATTAGTTTAAGTAGAAATGCATGTATAGCATAATTACTAACATTAAATAATATTAATGTTACACTCTTGTGGAAATAAATTAATAGACACTTTATGCACTTGTATATAATTTGATAAAAAACAATTGTATTTTTAAAATTTGTGCATGTTTTGAAAATTTATATAAAAATTAAAAAAAAATGTTAATAAATATTGAAAACTGTTAAAAAATAAATTATAAATAAAAAAACGATTTCATTATACATTAAATACGTATAATAAATTTTTTTACTAATTTACAATGTTTTACATGCTTTATTCCTTTTTAGTAGATTTTAATATTTATTTATATTTTCATAATATTTATGAATTTATTATGTTTCCACTAGAGTATATATATATATATATAATATATATTATTAATATACGTTTTTAAAACACTAATTGTGATAAATATTTTGAAGTCTACGTATTTATATGTTAAATCTTGATCTATATTTTACATTTTTTTAGTAGGTCAAAATAAGATAAAAAGCTTTTAATCTATGTAGAATAATTAATTCAACTCAATGTTTTCAAGATTTAAAGTTAAATATATTAACCATAAAGTTTACCATAGGAATTAAAAGAATTTATCTTATAAAATATTAAGATCATATTATGTACACTGATATAATTGTCTATCATCGTTGACTTATAAAAATGTTAGATATTACGGAATAAATTATATTTGATTAAATTTCATTATATTTCGTAACTGTAATGAATTTAAAAACGATTTTTCTACTAATTTTCAAATTATAAAATGTAAATATGAAATAATACACTTCGTTTGTTAATTAAAAAAATTAAAACTCGTTTATTATGAATCAATATATGTTTTTCTTCCTTTAGAAACCTATACAAATTTGAAAAGAAATTTTAAAAACTAATGGGTTATATTATTCGTACAAAAGACGTTAAATTTAGTAATTTTATTAATCCATAATCTACAATTCTAAATTAAAATAGAATAAAGTTGTACACATTACGTCTATTTAATTTTACATTATACAATATTTTTATAAATATATAATCATTAATCAAATTTCAAATGAAAATTTCTGAGATAGAATTTTTTTTTAATATTTATAAAAATACGGCAAAAATACACTTAGTATTAAGAAAAAAATATGGTTAAATTAGAAACAACTATTTTTAATTTTATCAGTTAAATTCAATAACGAACACAAGCAAACATTACAAATTTATTCAACTCAAATGAATGTTCCATTTTTATTTTTATTATTAATTATAAACTATAGTTTTTTATTGACTTAAAATTTATAATGAGATAAAAACATTTCAATTTTGTTTACAGTAATTGATTTAAAAAAAAAATGTTATAATTAATAATTTATAAAAAAAACACTTAATTTTTAATGCAATTTAATAAAATATTACATTTAATACTAATTATGATTACACATGATGTTATAATATATTTTTATCTATTTTAAAACTGTTATTTTACAATTGATTACAATCTAATTCACTTTGACAGGATTGTTTCATTTAATATAAATAAGCATCACATCTTTTTTGTACTCTAATATTCTATCACAAGTGATTTGTATTAAAACTTCGTCAAAATGTTCGATCAAATTGAATTATATTTTTCATTCTCTTACATTCCACTAATCAATTTTTACAGTTTATATCGAATTTACATTTATTTTCATTCAATACATAATAAAGACACATGTAATTAATAAAAACGTGACGACAACAAATATTCGATACACAAATTTTTATTTTTATTCAATACAGAAAATATTTTAATATTTTCATTATAACTACGTTAATTTTTTTTTTTTTTTTTTCAATGTAATAAAGGATGATTTTTCATTCATATAATACAATTTTGTTTACTATCCTCAAATACAAACCATCTCTTATTAAATATGTTTAATTACTCTTTTTATTATAAATATAGTGGAAGAGCAAGATCAACAATCTATGCCACATATCAGATAGAAATATAATTAATTTAATTTATAAAATTGTTCTAGAACATAATGTCACAGAATAAGTTCTATTTATTGAAAATATAACAATAATTCGTAATTAATAGTTAATTTAATCATTAATCAGTTATCAACTATTAATTAAACATTTAATTTATTTCATCTACTTATAATTAATAAAAATCTTCAATTAAATTGTTAAGTTACGCTTTTAAATAATTAAACATCAATAATATAAATTAATATCTAATGAATAAATTATTTAATTTCTCATTTTTAAACATTAATAGAATATCATATTACTGGATATTTTTAGTTTCTTTCTAGCTTATAAACTATGCGGGTAATATATTTTAGATAATTAGTCATTGCACATTCTGATATTTTAATTAGAAAAATTAATTCTAGCTTATTAAATATTACATCTAAATAGGTAATTTTCTTTTTATATAAATTAATTAACTTGAACTATAAAGCTTGAACTCATAAATTTTAATTTCAATACTTATGTTAAAGTATTTAAATTAAACTCATTATTAATAATGAAGAAGCAGAAAAAGTATTTTTGGTCAAATTCATATTTGCTAATCTCTTTTATTAATTTAGCATAGATTTTTATTGAGCTACTATAAATGATTTTTAATATTTTTGAAATATATAGTAAAATATATATTTGTTAAATTGTCACAACATATTAAAAAAAAAAAATATATAATTATTAATATTAATTTTTATTAACTTTTAAATTCATTACTAATTAATAGTATTATAAGATTAATATTTTTTAAGTCAAATTATATTAAAAAAATATGTAAATTTAATTTCAAAATATGGCATAACTTTTTTTATAAATACATACGAATTTTAATATTGTAATTATATTTAATTAATTATTAATTTTTAAATACAAGATTGTATTTTCTTAATGAATGAAAAATTAAAATTAAAAAAAAAAATATATATATATATATATATAAATTGAAAGTAAAATATATAAAAAATAATGTGTCGTTTATAAAAGATTGATTTCATGAATATATATTTATTTTAATTTTTGGCATTTGAATAAGGAAAAAATATTATGCATGCAGCCCATAATAAATAAGATTAGCTTTATGTATTTTTATAAATCATTAAAAACCTTCATTCGTATATTATGTATAGCATTAAATATTTATATTTAACAATCATCTTAAAGGCTGACCCATATAGTTTAAACTCTTAGAATAAAAAGTTGAGGGAATGTCTGTAGCTACCAATTGAACATTATCAGATATTTCATTAATTGTAACTACTTTAAAAAATGTACATGGTCTTTTCCCTTTACCATAATCACCTGTATCATATGGCGGACTTAAAACATCTAAGAATGCAGCTGGTCCTTCTAAACAGGTTATTTCATGAAGATTCTTCAAAAATGGTGTTAATACACATGCAGGATCAGTATGTTTAATAATAGTCGATGAGTGCTTAACAGCCGCTATTCCCTTATTTTTATCAGAAACTTTATCTCTATAAGATTCAATGGAATAACTGTCTATTTTGACAACACCACTAATAACCTGTATCAAAAATTAAAAATTATTATTTTAATGAATAATGACACTGTAAATTTTACCTTTATTTCTTTTAATTATTATTGAATTTTTATTTATTAAAATTAGCTGTTTATTATTAATAATAATAAATCTTGTATAAAAAAAATATTTTTTACCTTCAAAAGGCCATGCATTTCGGGATGATCGTGTAACGGCAGTGTAACACCAGTTTTCAAAATAAATATAGCTATGGTTATATCTTGATTTTCAAAAACATCAATTGCACACATCGGTGCAGATTGATTATTAACATAATCAAGTACTTTTTTATCAACATAAACATCTTCGGCATTTATCTCATTGATAAGACATTTAAGTTTTTCAAAATTTTTTAAACATATTTTATAATTAGAAGTCTTAGATCCAGAGAAAGTTTTTAATGCTAATTTCCATAATACCTCTATTCTAGATGCCATTAAGTAATATTTTTTAAAACTGTTTCTTAACCACTTTACTAATATATAAAATTTTATAAATTAACAATCAATATCTATAGCATGTGATTTGTAAAAAATATATTTAGATTACAAACATGCAGCTGTAAATAATATATAATTTATAAATAATCAAATCAAATAAGAAGTCTAAAAAATAGTTATTAAATATTTTACCTTTTAATTATTTGTTGGATTAAGAGAATCGTTCGATTCAAAATCATCAAACACCTTCGAGGATTCAATAATTAAAGACGAAAGTTATCATTTTGTCATCTAATTAACTTCATTTAAAGTAATATATCGCGCGATAATTTACGAAAATTATTCGACATTTATTAACAGAAAAATGCGAAACAATAAATAATCAACATCCCATGATTAAAACGGTAAAAAAGATTGGAAACTCATATATAAAATAAAATAACTGGCGCCATTACAAAAATCTACGTAACTCGAATGAAATGAGTAATTCTAATAAATAAAATAAAAGCAAAGTATAATAAATAAATTATCGTATGAAAATTTATTTGAAAAGAATATTACAATAATAATTTCAATTGTATATCTCAAGAAATAGGATTATTTTAATAAAAAAAAAAAAAAAAAACATTAATGTAAACTTCTACTAATAATATAAATTAATATAAATTAAAATTTTTAAAAAGATAACATTAGTTTAAAATATTATAAGTATTATAATTACTTATTAGATGATTGGCATATAATAGTATTTAAATACTGTAAAAAATAGTCTTTTGTATAATAAATAAATAAATAATCAATAACATGAAATTATAATACAAGTAATATATTATAAACTAATTAATAATTAAATAAAGAAAAAATAAGTAAGAAAGTAATTCCTCCGGATGTACAGTGTAAATACATAATTAATAAAATAAAAATGATGGATATCTGAAATTATTTAATAGGATTTATGATATAACAATTAATTACAGTACGTAACGATATATTTTTTTAATGATATTGCTGCTGTTATTGTTGTTGTGATTGTTGTTGTTGCTACTGTTACTATTATATTTTATTTTCATCTTCGTGTTGACTTTTTGATTTTATTATCTCGGGAACGTAAAGCTTAAAAAAAATAATACTGATTGGTTGATGTGACGTTAATTTTTTCAATTCTTAAAAACACAATGTAAAAAAAATCCAAAAAATTCTTAAAACATATATTATGGTTGTTAATCTACTTACACATAAATTAACAATATTAAAAATTTTCAAAATGATAGCAATTTTAATACGAAATATGAATTTTATAATATTTTCCAAAAATAAATAATTTAAGAAAAATAATTTTTTTAATTTATAGTACCGTGAGTAAAAATAACACTACTTGCATCTATCGTACCATATCTAATAAATACTAAAATAACTTTTGTTGATTTCGCTTATATACCTACTACATCGACTATTAATTTTTTAATAATTATTAAATCTATTATATATATTTTAACAACTGCATCAGTTTTTAACAAATTTTGCCTTATAAATAAATTTCATAAGTTTCAAAAAAGAATATTATAATGATAATTATAAAATATTATATATATATATATATTTAATAACTTATAATACTTTTAAAATGCAGAAAAAGTATAGTTTCTTTAAAATCATATTGGCATAGATAATATGATAGTACGTAAATAATTATCAATTAAATAGTAAATTTGAAAGAGATTGAAACGATAGAATCGCCATTACAAATACAATACTGAAACGCATAAACAAGACATCGACACTATTAATTTGTTAGTAGAATCTTTGAAAAGTGAAGAAGAAAATATCGAGAACAAAGTATGAAAAAAATTTTTGGACTTATAAAGATAGTATTTGGACAAAAATATTAAAAAAGAAAAAAAATAAAAAAAAAAAAAAAAAAAAAAAAAAAAAAAAAATCGGTAAGGTGTTAGCTGATTATTGATAGCAAAATCGATAGAATTTACAAAATCTGTAAAAAGAAAATAAAAAACGTCATAAACGAATATATGATAAAAAAAAAAAAAAAAAAAAAAAAAAAAAAAATAGAAGCGGAAGCAAAAGAACCGAAATAGGAGAGTTTTTGTTAGAAACATTGAATTTCATTCCATTTGTATATTTTTTATGATCTATAGGTATAGTTACTGCAATTGTATGACGCATTTTATTAAATTACAGCAAATATTACATACCGTAATTTCATATGTAGAATCGATGGGTGCGAGTGTTGTTCCTACTAACATTAAATTATTTATATAGGCGCCTAACCGAAAATATCAATTCATAATGCAATTTCACAAAATGTAAAAAGAAAATTTTTTACAAAAATGTAAAATAATAATAAAAATCTATTAAATAGTTGATCATGGAACAGCGATCAATTGGCAAAATCCAATATTGTCTATTGCACACTACGTCGAATTAACAATCAATTTTATTCAACGGGATAAGTATAATACATTTTTATTAATTACAATATTATCAAAATAACAACCTACTTCGTTATAGTAAATGTGTAAATAGTTAAATTATAATTGAATTTACGGGATAATATATTTTTAATAATACAAGAATTAATTTACATTTTAGACGATGCGTGAATGAATCACTAATTTCACGTTTACCTTATATCTAAAAATAAATTCATTCATTGTATTGCTTGAGAAATTGATCGTTTAAACAAGATGCGTTAAACTATTTAAAAAAAAAAATTTTAATTACAATGCGCCTCATCGATCATCATTAAAATATCGTCGCTTATAATTTCGCAATTATGCAATATTTAAACAAAATAATATTCAATAGTGTTTTAAAGAAAATAAAAAATAAAAATTCTACCGATTTAAATGTAAACGTAAGGTTAATTTATATTTATACGAACGCACCTCCAAATGTTATCAATAAAATACTTCTTATTCTCCAAAATTATTCTTCAACAAATGTAACAAAAATTTCCAATTATAAATTTTCTACTAAATTGCTATTATTGACAATATTATAATCAATTGATCAATATTGACGATATCCATGAACAATATATGCAATATCTACTTAAAGGGATTGATTAATGTATAATCGAATGTCCATTTTATATGTCCGCAAATTTTATATTGAATATTTAATAAACTTTACTTTAGATTTTAACTGCATACGTATATAAATACAAATTGCATTTACTTTGATATTCCAATGTAATATGCATAATGAATGTTTTTGTAAATGATACTAGCATCGATATAATAACATTTAAATAAAAGACACTGAGAATATCGCAAGCTATAAAAGCGTTTGTGATATCGCGAAACCATAAATACCGCTCGCTCCACTAAATTAAAAAGGAAGTGTGGTGCTTTTGTTCAGCATTAGTGTAAGTATATATATATATATATATATATATATATATATATAATGAAAAGCCATGACACTAGGGAGGGTAAAGAGAATTTGCCCCGCCCGCATTGCACCGACGCTAGAGCATCGATTTGAAGAGAGTCCATACGCTTTCTAAGTAATTCAATTTAAATAATGGGATGATATTAAAAATTTGTTCACTTAAAGAAATACAAATGCTATTATTATTACACGCACTGTCGGCATTATTTCATTAACGGTAAAATCCATAACGTAAGCGAGCGCGAGCCTCTTAGTATTGTCATCGTGAAGAGAAAGTTGTTATGTGTAGTGATAGAATTAAATGTAAAAGTTGCTTTTATGAATGAAATTGGCATTACGATGTAACTTAAGATACCGATAATTATCGTACTATCGATGCAATTTATGTGTTCCATCAGCTTCGATTCAAATCACTGTTTTTATAAATTTTTTATTCTAATTGTTTAGCCTTTTTCTGTTCTCGAATGATATTTTGTTGTATATTTTTAAATAGGTTAGAGTAATTACTGATATTTAATACTTATATTCGGAAATAAATTCTTCGTATTCTTTATAACATTTTTTCCAATTGCATTTCAATTAATCAGTCATTGTCCTATGTCTGTTATGTCTTAAGCCGTGCAATTAAAAAATTTCCATGTTAAATTTACATCTTATAAAAAATGTACTTAATGATAAACAATTCTTTTTGATAATTAAATTTATTACAAATTAATATCAATAGTTGGAGAAAAGCAAACATTTTTTAAAGTAATTATGTATTTTTCTGCAAATTAATTCTATTGATTATTTATATCTTCTAACAACATACTTCATTTAATTTTATTTAAAAATAATCATAATATATTTTTGATAGCATGATCTTTCTAATTCAATGTTATTACTTTTCATTATATTACAATTAACGCTATTATGAATGTACTAATGCTTTTAAATTGAAAATACATTAACCATTTAATGTAAAATTAAATATGCATATATTTTTATATGTACATCTATTATCATCGTTATATAGTTCATATTAAGTGCAAATAAAAAGTATAGAATTTACATGTACCATGTGGTTAACTTAATTTGAATTTCAACTACACTATCAGAAATTCATTTATTATGACTTTTCAATGTACAATGACAATTTTACAATCAATCGATAATTTTAGTTTCATAATTTTAATGCTCATTGTTAAATTAAAATTTCTTAACATAAAATTTTATTCCAAGTATCAACAAATTTTGTAATGAATTATATTTATCTTTACGTTCTAGTATTCAATTCAATAAATTATAAAAGTAATCATCAAAATGAGTGGAATAATTCTTGAAATGGAGCAGATTATTAGTCAGCTTGAAAGAGGAACCGTAGTCACTAGATTCTATCCAAGAAAGAGACCGGAGAAAAAAACTTTAATGATACGCCGAGAAACTAGGCAAATTGTTTCAGCAAAAAGCAACACATCCAGACCTTTCGATGGATTAGGTAATTTATTTATTGCTCATACTAAAGGATTATAATACAAGATTTACCGTGTCTTATATGATAATGCAATATCATTATAATATAGTATATTACTTATAAAAATTTGTATTATATACTATAATAAGTATATAAATTGAAATATTCATATATACGACATACTAAAGAGTTACTGTTTTATAATGTAATTAAATTTATTTAAATTTCCAAATAATAGATGAAAAATTATTATTAATGTTTGAATTTATGAAATAATATTCATAAGATATTGAACTTAAAACATGTAATTTTATAATTTTTTTTTTCTTACAGTAGATATACGAGAAGTTAAAGAAATAAGAATAGGTAAGAATTCAAAAGAATTTGAAAAATGGCCCGAGGATGCTAAGAAAATAGACAATCTACGATGTTTTGTAGTATATTATGGCTCGGAATTTAGACTTAAAAGTCTTTCAATTTCAGGTAATTATTTAAATCAAACTACACGTCTACATTTGTATTTAATAAAATGAATGCTATTCTGCCTTAGCTCTAAGCGAAAAAGAATGTGAATTATGGGTTAAAGGTCTTCGGCATTTAGTTCAAGACACAATATATGCTCCATATCCTTTACAAGTCGAGCGATGGTTGAGAAAGGAATTTTATGCAATGGAAAATTCTCGAGAAATGTACATATTTAATGTTTACTTTCATTAAAAGAAAATTTTCTCATCTCATATTCTCATTTGTAGGATTACTTTGAAAGATGTTAAGGCATTTTTACCAAGAATAAATTGTAAAATAGTAACAAACAAGCTTAGAGAAGTATTCCAAGAGGTAGATACAAAAAATAGAACTGAAATAGGATTTGATGACTTTGTAATACTTTATCATAAGCTAATGTTTGATTCAAATGTAAGGAAGTGCAATTTACATGATATTGTATTATATAATAAATATAATTATTATTTGTATAATTAAAACAAAACAAAAAAATTATTTGCTATTTCAGAACTTAGCGGATTGGACAAAATTATTAAGGTATTCAAAGTGTGGAATGACAGTTACATTACAGGAATTTCAAAATTTTTTATTAACAGAGCAACAAGACTTTTCTGGACATAATGGATTAGAAGTTTCTCAGTTTATTCGTGAATATCTTCAAGATCCTCAAAGAGACGTTCAAAATCCATATTTTCACTTTTCAGAATTTATTGATTTCTTATTTTCAAAGCAAAATGAAATATGGGATAATAAATATGATCAAGTCTTCCATGACATGACAAGACCAATGTCCCATTACTGGATCGCTTCATCGCATAATACGTAATGTTTGTTAATATCATCAATATCTCAAATAGTTATCTTAATATGTTAATATTGCTTATCATTATAAATTTTTACGATTTACATAAGCTAATGTATATAAATTATTCATTTATATAAATTATTCATTTATATAAATTATTCATAATGAATTTGAGATATTGACCTACCTAGCTCTTAATACTTTTTATTTCATTCAATTAAAACATGCAATGTAATTGTGTTTCTATTAGTTAATTTGTTTAAATAATGCGCATATACTATTTCATTCTAGTTATCTAATGGGCGACCAAATAAGTAGCGAAAGTAGTTGCCAAGCGTACGTTCGGGCTTTAAGAAATGGATGTAGATGTATAGAATTAGATTGTTGGGATGGACCAGACGGAATGCCTTTCATATTTCATGGACATACTTTAACGACGAAAATAAAATTTTTAGATGTAATTAAAACAATTAAGGAACACGCTTTTGTCACTTCAATGTAAGTTTTCGATTAATTAATCCATAAGAGCAATAGAAGCCAATAGAAGTATTAACGACCATTTATTTTAAAACATCGCCATTCATTTTTATAAAAATGAAACAAAATTCCTTCTAAAATCAATCACGAAAAAAAAATAAAATTAAAACCTACTCGAAAATTACAGATATCCTGTGATCCTCTCTATAGAAGACAACTGCACGCTGCCCCAGCAGCGAAAAATGGCTGTAGCTATGCAAGAAGTCTTTGGTGATATGCTATTGATCCAGCCAATCGATAAAAACGAGACTACCCTGCCTTCTCCTTATTCCTTGCGTAGGAAAATTTTATTGAAGCATAAGAAACTGCCGGATGGCGTGGATGAGAGCTCGTTCGTTGTGCGTAACGACGAAAGCAGGCAAGAGATGGATCTAAGAAATACAATAAAAAACGGGATACTGTATCTCGAGGACCCTATCGACAGGGAATGGAATCCACACTTCTTCGTTCTTACGCAGCAAAAGCTTATTTATACAGATACATTTTCGAGGACGCAAGAGACAGAACTCGAAGATGACGATGAAACTACAATAAGACCGCCAGGAGATGTGTGTACTATTCATATTATTTTAATTAATTAAAAATGAACGAGCATTTTATCAAAACGAAATATTAATCATCAGATATAATTAAGAAGAAGATATAATAAGAGAATGTCACAAAAGTTACACATTTACTGATACATTAGTCAGATAATTTTTTTAAAAAATAATTGCCTTTAATTTTCATAAACATTCAATGGTAGTGTAAAATTTGTCGATATTTCTTTCCTAATTATCAATAATATCTTTTTAATCTGTAACTTTATCAATAATTATATAATTAAACAATATACTTTTCTATTATTTGAATTATTTGAATTATTAATATGAGCATCGATCGTTGACAATAGAATTTGCATTTAATTATAAAATTGCTTGTTTTTAATCCGAAAAAAGAAAGTTCAATGCGATAGAAATACAAATTTTTTAATTATTATTTATTAAAAGAATTGTTTATTATTAGGGAGTTCCAAACGATGAATTACATTTTGGAGAAATGTGGTTTCATGGTAAATTAGCCAATGGCAGAGAAGAAGCGGAGGAGCTTTTACGAAGATATTCTCATTTAGGTGATGGAACATTTCTCGTTAGACAGTGCGTAACATTTGTTGGAGATTATTGCTTATCGTTTTGGAGAAAAGGAAAAGTCAATCATTGTCGAATAAAATTGAAGCAAGAAATGAATCAAACGCAATTTTATTTAATAGACACACATTACTTCGATAGTTTATACAGTCTTATTACATACTACCGTAATAATCCTTTAAAGAGTCAGGTAAAACAAAATATCATCCATAATAATTAATTTTGATATATGTTTAAACAAAATTGAGCTTTGAATATTGCATAGAAAAAATTATATTTATCGATTAACAATAAAACTAAAACGTTGCAACTTTTATTGTACATTTTTTAAAAAAGTGTATATACACAAAAGATTTTATTTAACAAATTCTTACTTTTAATTAAATAAAATACTATAGATAATTATACAATATTAATTTGTTTCAAAATTACACTCAGAAGCATTGCAACAATCTATGAGTAAAAGGTAAACAAGTATATTTTTGTTATAATGCTTAAATAGTATTAATATTATTTATTTTTGCTTTAAATTATTTCACTTAATTTTAAAGTTCTTGTTTGACCCATTTAGCTTTTTTATATTCTTTGAAATTATTGTAATAATAAATCAATTACAAAAACTTTAGTTAATTATTTCGTTTACTATAATATTTGGCTTTTAATATTTTTCCTTTTATTTATATTTAGTTTTATCATTACGAAGGCATGTTTTTTCAAAAAGAAAAAAAAAAAAGTGATTTCTTCAATGAAATTAAATTTTTATTATGAAATCAATTCTTTTTAATTTATTGTAAATCGTACAATTGTATACTAAATTAGAAATATTTTTCCTTTTTTTTTTGTCGAATATAAATTACTCGTTATTTTGTAGTAAATAAATAATGCGCAAACTTGTTTTGCTAGGAATTTTTAATTACATTGAAAGAACCAGTGCCGCAACCAAGCAAACACGAGGAAAAAGAATGGTGGCATCCAGACTATTCCAGGACACTCGCTGAGGAAATGTTGAAAAGAATACCTACGGATGGAGCATTCTTAGTAAGACCAATTGAAAAGGAGAATAATTCTTATGCCATCTCATTTAGGTACGTCAGGAACATTGAAATTTATACAAAAATTGCGCTTGAAGAAATAGATTTTTTTAATTTGAATTAATTTAATGTTTGATTAGGGCAGAGAATATAATAAAACATTGTCGAATTAAGCTTGAAGGAAGATTATACACGATAGGTACTTTTCAATTTGAAAGCTTAGTCGATTTAGTTAATTATTATGAGCGCCATCCTCTATATAAAAAAATTAAATTGAGTTATCCAGTTAATCAAGAGATCGTTCGACAAAGAGGTCTGGTAAGTTGCATCACACGAATAATTATATTTTTTCAAGATACAGCTTTAACAATATTATTGTAATTATTTGAAATAATGTTACGAAATTTGTTACACGATACGTTAATAACTATTCATTTATCTCAATAAATAGTTTATTTAAATAAATTATGCTTTGTAAAATAAAATAAAATAATATTTTATTTTTAATATTTATGTAGGATGTTAGTGATGGCCTAGTATATGGAATTCCAGGTTATATGGATCCAACAAGTTTTGTTTCAAAAGTAACCGTTAAAGCGGTATATGATTATAAAGCTGGAAGATACGATGAATTAACTTTAGTCAAACATGCTATAATTACGAATGTAAATAAACAAAATGGTGGTTGGTGGAGAGGCGATTATGGTGGTAAGAAGCAGCACTGGTTCCCTGCCAATTATGTTGATGAAATTGAACAAGATAGTCAGACGGATGTAAGTTTTTACACAACTTCTAATATTTAATTTAATCAAATAATGTAATTATTATATGCACTTATATAGTTACCAACGTTGAAACTATTTTAACTCTTATAGAACAATGCGATAATTGTATTCTATGTCATTTTACAGTCATCCGATTCAATGCTTCTTGGAAATTTACAAAAAGGATCACTAGACATAATAGGTGCGGTAGTTGAATTAACAATGTCAGAAAGACCTGGTCTTGAATGGATTCTGCGAATACAAAATCCAAGTACGTGCTCTGTTTTTGAAGCAGCGGCACCATCCAAAGATACGGCACTCGAATGGATACAAATAATTCATGAAACTGGACAAAATGCTAGCGCCCGGGTAAATCTTTACAGCACTATATTATCCTTGTAATAATTATCATTTTATTTTCAGTAATTGTCCTTTTATACCACAAGGCATTAATTAATTATCTTAGTTTTATTGAATAATATGTTAGTAATTCGCGTGTCTATTTTCCCTAAAATTTAGGAAAATCAGCACAAGGAAATGGAGAGAGCTTGGAGAATAGCGAAGGAAATGTCGAATCTAATAGTCTATTTCAGATCGGTTGCTTTTAACTTGGAGCGACTGCGACTTAAGGGTTTCGTTTATAATGAAATGAGCAGTTTTCCCGAAATTAAAGCGGAAAAACTTATGTGCCAACAAGAAAATAAGTTTTTTCTCCGATATCATCAAGTGCAATTTAGCCGAGTATATCCCAAAGGTCAGCGCATCGACTCGTCAAATTATAATCCAGTACCCATGTGGAATTCAGGATGTCAGATGGTGGCATTGAATTACCAAACGGGAGATAAGCCAATGCAATTTAACCAAGCAAAGTTTCGCGAGAACGGCAATTGCGGTTACCTCTTAAAGCCAGATTTGATATTCCATGAAGATTTCAATCCGTATGATAGGAATTCGGTCACCGAGGTCGAAAGTCTTAAAATTAGAATACTGGTTATAGGTGCTAGGCATTTGAGTAAAGCGGGCAGAGGTACTGTCAGTCCATTCGTGCAAATAGAAGTCGCGGGTACTAATTATGACAGCGGATTAAAATTGACGACAAAACTGATAGGTGAGTAAACAGTAGTTTTCACATTATAATCGAGATCACTTTACATTGTGAAAAAATATATCTTACTTAAAATTAGAGAAGTTATTTTATTGAGAATTTATGAAGCTTCATATATTCAATATTAATATTGAATGAGTGCTTTAAGTAATTTAAGTTTAATCCTAATTAAAGCAACATCAATCCTATTCCCCTATTATTTTCACACTTATAAATATAATTGTAATATAATACTTATATTGTGTGTTATGATCTACGATCTATGATGATTTTATTTTAAAAATTTTCAGCCGATAATGGTTTTAATCCAATATGGAACGAGTCTTGTGAATTCCAAGTGACAAATCCAAATTTAGCTTTTCTTCGATTTGTTGTACTAGACGAAGATATGTTTGGTGATAGCAATTTTATTGGTCAAGCAACTTATCCTGTAAATATTATTTGTTATTTTAATAAAATTATATGATAATGAAAATCTTATATTTAACGTAAAGCTTTAGCGGAAGCAATAATAATGCCTCATAAATTTTTAATTTATTTCATAATGAAAGATATAATTTATTTCAGATTCATTGTTTAAGAACTGGTTATAGGAGCGTTCCTCTGAAAAACAGTTATAGCGAAGATCTTGAATTAGCATCTCTTTTAGTGCATGTTAAAATCGTTAGTTCATGTGTGAGTATATACATAGAATAAAAATCACGTGATTCGTAAATTCAATAATTGCAAAATTAATCCATCGTTATTTGAGCAATAAGTTCGAGTAGCGTTAAATAAAGAAGAATATTCTTTAAAAAAAAAAAAAATAAAAAAAAAAACAAAGAAATATTTTCACTTTTTACAACAGTAATTCACAAGTAGTTAACTTAGTAAAACGATTCCCCGAAATATTAACAGAGAATCAATGGTCTTTGCAATGTACAAATTATTATAATTAATATACATATTTTTTATTATTTTTAGGAATCAGTGCGTAACAATACTCAGAAACACGATGGTCGATCGAGCATTCTAAACTCTCGAGTAATATATAGAGAGGCGCAAAATGCTGGTAAATTCCATCTTTAATAAATGAGCCTTGATACAACTTGACTTTCTGATATCTTTAGTGGTATATTTGCGCCCAGTTACAAACCAGTATATCGGCATTTAACAATAATCATCAATTTGTAATAAAGTAACATTGTTTGTATTGCAATGTACGTTTCTCTTTATAGAATTTCATTTGCGTAGAGATAATATTCTCTCATATTGTTTTGGTCGAAAATATTTATATATATATATATATATATATATATATATATATATATATATATATATATAGAGTTTTTAAGGCCACTGTAATGTTAATAGTGAAAACGTTGTAATGTTTTTATATTTTTAAAAAGTATTTTAAAGGAATTTTATTTAAGATTATTAAGTGATATAGCAAGAATAATTACTAACTAACAATTTATTTAGTTTTTAAACATTTACTTTAAAAATTGAATGTACTATTTTCAAGCATTTACAAGCATTTATGTAAATTTTTTTTATAAAAAAGAAAAGAAAATCACGAAGAAAAACATACACTGAAATTTATCCATTGGAAAAAACATTGAATAAGTTTCATAATGAAATATTTTATACTATTCGACTCTAACACGATTTTTCATATTACAAAAAATAAAAAATCTTATGTTATTTAAATTTTGATGATTAAAATTTTTATATGATATTTTTTTATATGTATATTTATTATTATTTTATTATATTGTAAAATTCTAGATTTACATTAGTGTGTATGGTAAAAATTTATAATGAAAAAAGTATTTATTAGTTTGATTTATATTATATTGACATTTCTTATTACAGAGTTTTATGTATTTAGTTAAAATTAAATATTTGCCATTTATATGATAAGAAAGATTTCAAATTGTTAAATACACATTATATGGTACCTCGTATGTAATAAAATTGTTTCAAAAAAAAAAAAAAAAAAAAAAAAAAAAAAAAAAATATGTTGTTTAAACTATTATTTAACTAATTATATAAACTATTATTATTTATTGATATTAATTATTTGTAGTTACTTAATTTTTAGCATTATTTTCAAACTAAAATGAAAAAAAGGACACACATTTATTTTAATTATGTCATGTCGAACTATCATAGGCATTTAAATAAATAATATGTATATTATTTACTTTATAGTGCTTTAATCTCATTTACATGATATAAATTATATATTTTTGTACTAATTGCTCTATAACCGATACCCTCTTGCAATCAAAATGTAATGAAAAGGATGCAAAATTGCTGCTACGATTTTGAATGACGAATTTTGAAAATCGAAGACAAACTATTGATAAAAAAAAAAGACGAAACACCGTTCGATTTTAATAGAAAACAGACTCGTGCAAGAATTGTCTATCAATGATAGTACAACGATACGTCGCGTCTCAATTTCCGGCAAACATTCTCATCATTGTTGACTATGGTTCTTAGCTAGCCTGACGTCACTTTACAGTAAAGTTAACCGTCAAAACGCAAATCCCTACTCCGATTTTATGCAAGTGTGCGCGTAGAGTGATTACGAATTTTCTACCTCTCCCCTTTTCCACCAGATACCTTTTTCCACGGGTATGCTGGAGAATTGAAACCAACAGTCGTATTACTTGTAGTCACTTGTGCGCTACGGGTGGTGGTGGTGGTGGTGGTGGTTCTGTTGCTGTTGCTGTTACTGTTGCTGTTGCTGGTGCTCGTGTTAGCGCGCGAGAGAGAGAGAGAGAGGACAGCAACGGCAGTCGGTGACAGTGAGTTTGGCATCGCGAAATTGTTCGTTCCTCGACGTACTCTACTCCACTACTTTTTCGATATTAATATCCTCGTCGTTGAATTCGAGCTTTAGTACGCGCCGGTAAAATATACGGGGAGTGGCTGAGGCGGTAGCAGTGGCATAGTGTCGGGAAATTCATTTGAAGTAGCAGAGCTGAAGGAGGTGTTGGTGATCTCAAAGCACTGAGCTCCAAGAAACGTTGCAGACGGAAAATCGCGCACAGATGGAAAAGTTGTAAACGAGCATCGAAAATATCTGCAAGTATTCTCACCTACGTGTTTGTTTATTTGTTGGTTTTCTTGTTTGCGTGTGCGTGAGTACGTGAGTGCGTGTATGCGTACATGTCCAAGAATGCCCGACGAGAGAGAGAGAGAGAGAGAGAGAGAGAGAGAGAGAGAAGGTGAGTGACCCGAAAAAAGGAAAATGCTCTACTCAAGTGGTGGACGTCTGCTGCTGCTATTGGTACTCTTTGAAAAAGAAACGAATTGTACTTGCGCAATACTCTTTTTACTCTTTTTTCTTATTCCTTTTCTCGATGGGTCATTATAATCGCTAGCGTTGTGTGTGCACGCCGTTACGCTTGGATAAAAAAGAAAATAAAAAATAAAAAAAATGACAAAAAATAAATGAAAGCTCGCGTTATCACAGCTGGTTATTTTTTTATGGTGCACACGCATGCAATATGAACTTGGAATCGAACTTGTGTCAAGATTAACTTTTCGAATCCCACTGGCTGGCAACATATGTTGTATTTTATAAAATAATATGAGAATACGAATTTCACTGAAACTGATAGGTTCGCATTATTTGCGAATTCAAATTCGTAGAGACAAACCCTTTGGTAGCATATACGTGCATTCTATAGTGTTTTTATTTTCATTTTTAATTATGAAAATTACTAAATTACTTGTAATTACACATTGTTCCCAAGTAGTTAAATATTATAATACCCCTCTCGTAGTTGCAGTTATGTATAATCAAATTTAATGCAGCACGAGCAATTCCAATTCCTCATGGGCATTAAAGTTACAAACTTTAAAATTCATTGTTTAGAAATGTCAGTATGTTTTTAAAACGATTTCAAAAAAATATTATAATAATTTTAATTTTGTTTTGTTTTTATTTTTGTTTTATTTACATAGAATTTTACATTATAAAAACAAAATCAAGGCGTCAGTTTAAATACTAATATTCGTAGAGGTTAAACATTACATGTTTAAATAAATGCTTTTAAAAACAATGGAACATTGATTTTTATTTATTCTGTCACTAAAATTTTAACACTTATTAAAGCAATTTTTAAACAGTATTTCCGAGCAAATCTATGCATTTATATTGCAATTATATAAAGGAAAATGAGAGTGAATATTTTAAGTATAAGTTAAAGCTCAAATATTGCGTGAATAATAAAAATTTTTAATTCTAATTAAATATTTAGCTCAATTCAACATAATTAATTTTTCACTATTGCATGATAGAAGTTTGACGTATAGGAGAAAGAATTCAATATCGATAATGTTCAATAATCATAAATTTCATCAATTAACAGATTGGGTATTTATATTAATTAAATTAATTACATAATTATGAATAAAAGAATATTGGGTATTTAATACATCGTTTCATAATATAAGTTCACTATGAATTTTTAAACTATCTATTAAAATCAATTAAAATTTAGAAGCTGTAAATACATCGTTATAATATTAAGTACTAGTTTGATGAAAAACTGATATACTCCTTGCTATTTGTTAAAAATAATCTTCAGAAATCTTTCATTCTATAATTACGAATAAAATATAGGTTTATGTTTTTGTAGATAAAATACAATTAGATATAAATGCTATGTATCAATCGTTATTATTTTTCTTTAATAATTCATAATAAGCTTAATTACAAAAAGAAAAAAACAAAACAAAAAAAGAAAATTCTAAAATTAATCTGCAACCTACGAAAGTTTATGACCATTACGTAAAGAACCATACACATTTATGCATAAATTATAGTCGATTATTGATTTAAAATAAACAAAAAATTTGCAATTGAAATATATTTCCATATTATGACAATTAAACTGCAAACATTTAGATTATACATTGGTACATTAGTTCTTTGCAAATAGTTCTTAATCACGTGTTTATTTATGAAACAATGCAGGAAAATGATATCTTTGTTGAATACAACACTCAAGACTGTTTTTTGTTTACACATAAATATAATGATTTAATTATAAATATAAAAATTGTATTTTGAATTTAATTTTTCAGCTATGCATTTCAAAGGAATTTGCTATTTGCATAACAACTTGTTGTTGCTCCTAATCATCAGCGATTATACGTCTTTTCGCCCACGAGTAAATTTACGCCATAAACGACACACCTTTCCATTTATTACAAATATTACACTCTACTTTGCGAATTTCTATAATAAACTCCACAATTGAACAACCTAGAAGTTAGCATATAAATGCATACGCGAAGTATTACGCTCGCGAGGGGGATGGGGGAGGGGGAATGGGGAAAGGGGAGGGGAAACGAGTAATCAACGAACGTTGTTTACGGTTGAAAACATATGAATAAACGGGAAATGCCTCTCTTCTTATTATCCTGTGATTGCGTTGCTACACAATGAATGCCGCGATTGCAAAACTACGGACACATTCTTTTGTGCTATAATAATACCACAAACGCCTGCGAGTTTACGCCTTGTCCAATTGCTCGATTTCGTTGATCAGCAGAATTTTTAATCAATCCTCTTTAACAATTTTCTTAAAAATACTTTTGAAATACTACCTAAGCCTATTACTGTGTATGTAATGTATAACGCAACTGGCTTACCTTATAACGCCTCTGCATATTAAGAATTTTATATTCCTTATACATTGATATTAACAAAACGACGAATTTTACGATTATCGTTTATAAACATTTTCTCACACACACACACACACGCACACACACACACACACACACACACACACACACAGATTTCTATAAATTAAGATTAAATTACTCTATAAATTAATCGTAGAACATCAAGAAGAGGCAGCAGCATGTTCAGAAAACATTTTGATGCATGCGTGTACGAAAGCTATTATTTGTTAAATCTCGAGAACGACTACGTCGACTCACTCGCACAGGACTTATATTGTTTTTTTGCCTTTGAATTTATAGCGAATCTGGATAATCTTGTTAAGATTAAGGTTAATAAATACGCGGATGCAAGACAAAAATAATAAACAAGCAAATAATACCTTTCCCGGGGCTTTTGAATGATAATTTTTAACAGCTCTTATCATCGATTATACGTAATAACGTTGTGATTTTAATGAAAGGATTTGTTTGAGTAAAACATTAACGAGGTAACAATACTTATGTGTGCTATTCATTTGACATTTATAGCATAAAAGTTGCATTTATCAAACTGACGGTATCAATTTTCTTATTTAAAAAACGTGACTAATAACTTAACGTGAATTAGATTTAAAATACAGGATGATTTTTCATAATATCTTATAACTTACATTTAATTTATTTAAAATCTCGATTATATATATATAGAGCATAGGCTTAACAAAATTTATCTTTATTACAATTAAAAAGAAGAAAAAAATGTATATATATATATATATATATGTGTGTGTGTGTGTGTGTGTGTGTGTGTGTGTGTTTGTGTATAACAAAAGTAGATTGAAAAAAAAAATGTTTTATTATTATTTTTAATTTAGACGCTACGTCTATTACATTAGAAATATAATTATACTGATATAATAACAATAGTCCATTAACAGAAACAAAATGCGTATCGTGCATTTTATTTATTTGCTCTCAAGAAAAACTTGCTGTCACAATTTTTTTTTATTAAAGAAAAAACACGAATTATCCAAATCCACCTACTTCTATTATTGTATCTCCATTTACTTATTCTGAATACATAATTCTTATTACGATAGTGTGTTACAAGTTTCATATTTTCTAAATTCAGAAATACTAATGTAATGATATAATTAACATGTTACTTCATTTTTACACATAAGACGATTACAACTCAATTGTCTTATGCTGAAAAATCATTGTAATTAAATCTATTCAAAAGATATTCTCAATAATTTAAAATACATTCTTATATACCATGGGAAAATTTTTACAAATTAATGAAATTATTTGTAAATTATCCTACAATTAACATTACTTTCAAATTTTATAAAAGTTAGTATAAAAAACAAAGTAAAATACTTGCGATTATTAAATGCATAATATACATGCAATTTGTTATCGACATCGATATTATGTTGTTTATAATTGCTCATTGTTTGTGAAATATTAACATTATCGAATATTTAGTGTCTTGTTAAGAAGTGTTATTAAAATTATTAAAATATTATTTCCAATTAAAATGTAGAACAGATATATTTTCCAGGTATCTATTTTTATTATCAAATTATTTGATATCATTATTATGACTATTATGTATCACAATATTATATATTCATGTAAGAAAAATATATATATCGTTTAACATTACATACTTTTTAATTTACCGATAGTTATTTTGTATAAAATCAATAATTTTACGAATATTTAAATAATAAAATATTTATTATCAATCAGTATTGATATACGTCCATAGTAGTATATATTAACTATTTTACGACTAAATCTATTTTATAATTAGTATTGCAAACGAGAAAATAAATATTTATGCTATTTATTGATAATTTAGATAAAACTTATCTATGAAAGACCTACGTAGGAAAACTGCAGTGATGATTATTCGATTGAAAGCTCAGTGACATATGGTTGGTTTTCTTTATTTAATTCCTGTTTGGTATACAAACAGCATGCCCCTCGTCATATTCCGATACAACATCCTAATGTGCTAATAATACAAAATACTTTATTCGTTTACTTTATCAGCGCTTACTTATTCTATTTATGATTAATAATTTTTCGTTCCAGGAATTATTAATTTTTATATGATAAACAAAAATAATAAAGAATTTGCGTGTTAATGCAATTCAATTCGCTATTTCAATCAGACTATTATAATGTAATTGTTTATAAAATAATATTTAACCAAAATACATGTTTTTAAATTTTTTGTACATTTAAATGAAATTTTTTTTTTTTTTTAATACACTTATTTATAAATAGAAATTTTTAATATTTTGTTATATTTTTATATTTAAAATTAATAGAAACACCTTAATAAAATCAATAGTCTATATAAAAATATAAATGTAAAATGAAGAACATTT